TCCCCTTGTCGTGAACAGCTCTGTCTTATGTGCTCTGTTTTTCCTGATCCTCCTCCACCTTCTGTCTACGAATAATTCTAAATGGCGGTTTCCGCCGCTAACATTGAATTTTTGTAGATTTACAATTATTTCTATAAATTGTTTTGTACCTTTTCCCATGTTCTAACTCAATTGGGCTCATTTTTGAAAAGATAAATATGAAGGTACGTGCGAATTCATTCGGATCGCATTTATTAGCAACAAGCGACAAAACGCTAATCAAAAAACTGATATTCGCTAGATATCAATCCAATTCAAGATCTGAACTAAACTAAATTACGCCTTTCGTATTAGTATTTCACTTGCTGAAAGCATACAAAGCGGTGCAATAAGAAAAGGCCAATTTCATGATCTGAACGAAAGCATTCATGTTGACGTCATACATTCCGGCCGCTTTCAGTCCGAAATCTTTCTGCGCCATCGCGAGGATCAGAAGAAACGTCTTCTGATCCTTCACGCTCAATTCGTACCAGTTTGTGAGGTAAAGAGTGTCCGAAAGTCTCTCGGTTTTCATCTTGATAAACTCGCCAAACAAACAAAAAAGCAAAATTTGGGTAATTCCAATACAACATATTAAATATGCTGAGATTTGATCGTTTTCTTGGCGCAAGAAAAGAAAACCGAATATCAGAAGCAAAGTACCGTTTGTGACCTGAACAAACGCCGTCTTTTGAATGGATTCGTTGAACAGATTCACGTTCCTGATAATATCATTGTGGCGAATGATGATAATTTTAAGGTAATTCGGAATTTCCTTAGTTTTCTGATCTATCATTTTCATGTAATCATTGAGAATGTTCAGCGCTGCCATAATTTGAAGACCAATGAAAATAATTCCCAAGTCCATCATTAACACGGAAACTGAGCCAATTGTTATCGATACCATTTGGATAATGTAATTCACTTCATCAGGAACTGTGTTTGGACCCATAATTTGCATAAACAACCCCATTTTGCTGTTTGGTGTCATTGTTGCTGTAATTATTAGTCCCGCCGGGATTACGAATCGCGTTCCCCACCTGAAAGCATTTTTTATGTCATAGATCTGACTTTCCATTTAATGCAAAATTTCTCACTTGGTCATAAACTTCCAAATCTCGAGCGATTGAATCAAACGCCTTTCCAGGCTTTCCCTTATATCAGGATTAGTTTCTTCTTCGTTGTAGAGAAATTCAATCCATTTGAGAATATTGAAGAAATGTTGACGTTCAATGAAACCAAGAATTAATTTCGAAATAATTTGCGAATAACCAACAAAAAACAATATCGTCGTAATGATATCAATGTCCAGTTCCACTGGAAATGAATTATATAGGCGAATGCCTATGAAGATTAGTCCAAGCATGGAACAGAGAGGAAAAATCACAACCAAAAGTCGATTTTTCCACGGTCCAGAAAAGATATCGAACGTCAAAGCGGAGATTTGGAAATCAATTAATGGTTTTTCACAGTTGAACTTCTCCAATTGCTTGGAAACCTTCATTTTGCGCACTGAGAAATGAAAATCCTTCCGACAAGTTTAACGATTGCTGCAAAACTGAAAAGCCGTCCTGAAACAATGTGAAGGGAAAATAAGTGTGTTCTATTTCTCGTATGTAAAAGTGTTAAATATGATTAATTATTAAATTTGTTGCATCACACTTTTTCACGCGGCAAATTAAATCACATTTCCTCCTTTTCCTCACACTCTCGATGCACACATGTTGCATTCTCAGCGCGAGTCATTCGACTGACTGTTCAAGAAATTCTGCCACATTTCACTGATCCTGTCTTTCAACTGAAGCGTGAAATCAAATAGAAAGCATTCTGAGTCAGAAAGATCGCCGAAAAGAGAAAAACGAGAGCACTGAGAGGGAAACCAAAGAAAATAACTCAAGGAATAATTTTTCCAATTAATAACTTATGAATTGAAGAAAAGTTTATTTCGCCGACATTTTCTTTTACAATTGCATTGTTAATTCATGATTAAATTACAACAAATAATGCAGTTGGGTAAAGAAAGCTTTTGTGAGCGTTTAACATTTTCCTTAAGCTCGACTGACTTATGTTTATGCGAGTTTCTTTCAGTCCAGTTTCACTTTAAATGTGACTTGAGAGGAGAAGTTGGGCTTCGTTAAAAGCTTCGTGCGGAATTCTATTAAGTCTCTGAGTTGTTCATATAAACTGATCAGATGAATATCGCGTGTAATTTATGCTGCTTGTGAATTTCTGCTCTTGCTGGCAACGTCTTCTGTCAATTCGTCACTTGGCTCTGATCCTCAGAATTTCCCACTTTTCCCACGCTTATTACGCCTACGTTCGTCTGTTTTTTTTTGGATTCGGAGAATGTTTTGTGCCAAGGATTCTCAAAACACAATGTCTTCCTTCCGTTCCGTTTGAGATGACGAGCAGTCGCATGATTAGGATTCTAGAATCTATAGACGTGAGCGCTTTTCACTAATAATAATAACAACAAATCGCCAAATAGATTTCATAATCTCTTTGCTTTATGTAATTTTGATATTCCTGTATCTTGTATACTCTGAATTCTAGATTCATCTCATAGAATGCTGCTTTTCTCTGCCCTCTATGCGTGTTTCTCGACCTCCAGCTCTTTTCTGTGATCTCCCCTTGTCGTGAACAGCTCTGTCTTATGTGCTCTTTCTTTCTTGATCCTCCTCCACCTTCTGTCTACGAGTGATCCTAAATGGCGGTTTCCGCCGCTAACATTGAATTTTTTGGTTTTACAATTATTATTATATAATGTTTTGTACCTTTTCCCATGTTCTAACTCAATTGGGCTCATTTTTGAAAAGATAAATATGAAGGTACGTGCGAATTCATTCAGATCGCATTTATTAGCAACAAGCGACAAAACGCTAATCAAAAAACTGATATTCGCTAGATATCAATCCAATTCAAGATCTGAACTAAACTAAATTACGCCTTTCGTATTAGTATTTCACTTGCTGAAAGCATACAAAGCGGTGCAGTAAGAAAAGGCCAATTTCATGATCTGAACGAAAGCATTCATGTTGACGTCATACATTCCGGCCGCTTTCAGTCCGAAATCTTTCTGCGCCATCGCGAGGATCAGAAGAAACGTCTTCTGATCCTTCACGCTCAATTCGTACCAGTTTGTGAGGTAAAGAGTGTCCGAAAGTCTCTCGGTTTTCATCTTGATGAGTTCGCCAAACAAGCAAAGAAGCAAAATTTGGGTTATTCCAATACAACATATTAAATATGCTGAGATTTGATCGTTTTCTTGGCGCAAGAAAAGAAAACCGAATATCAGAAGCAAAGTACCGTTTGTGACCTGAACAAACGCCGTCTTTTGAATGGATTCGTTGAACAGATTCACGTTCCTGATAATATCATTGTGGCGAATGATGATAATTTTGATATAATTCGGAATTTCCTTAGTTTTCTCATTGAATATTTTCATGTAATCGTTGAGAATGTTCAGCGCTGCCATAATTTGAATACCAATGAAAATAATTCCCAAGTCCATTATTAACACGGAAACTGAGCCAATTGTCAACAATACCATTTGGATAATGTAATTTACTTCATCAGGAACTGTGTTTGGACCCAGAATTTGCATAAACAACCCCATTTTGCTGTTCGGTGTCATTGTGGCTGTAATTATTACTCCCGCCGTGATTACGAATCGAGTTCCCCACCTGAAAGCATTTTTTATGTCATAAATTTGATTAGCGTTTAATGTGAAATTTCTCACTTGGTCATAAACTTCCAAATCTCGAGCGATTGAATCAAACGCCTTTCCAGGCTTTCCCTTATATCAGGATTAGTTTCTTCTTCGTTGTAGAGAAATTCAATCCATTTGAGAATATTGAAGAAATGTTGACGTTCAATGAAACCAAGAATTACCTTCGAAATAGCTTGCAAAAGGCCGACAAAAATCAATGACGTCGTAATGATATCAATGTCCAGTTCCATTGATAATGAATTATATAGTCGGTTGCCTGTCAAGATTAGTCCTAGGAAGGAACAAAAAACCAAAAACACAACCAAGATGCGATTTTTCCACGGACCAGAAAAGATGTTGATCGTCAAAACGGAGATTTGGAAATCAATCACTGGTTTTTCACAGTTGAACTTCTCCAATTGCTTGGAAACTTTCATTTTGCGCACTGAAAATGAGAAAATCCTTCCAACAAGTTTAACAATTGCTGCAAAACTGAAAAGTCGTCCTGAATCCAATCGCAAGGCGTCTGAAGAGTGTTTTAATTGTCTCATGACGCCCGCGAATAATAAATCGTTTTGTTATGAAATATACAGTGACTAGAAGTGGAATAGATCCGCCTCAGGCTCTGAGACAAATCGATGTGCCGCGAATTTCCCTCTGTTCCTCGCGGTGTTAATGGAAATTGAAGGCTAACGCGGTTCTATTCAATTCGGAGTCACTGTACATGAATAAGGGAGAATAGTATGAATATTGAACATTTGCATACTTTATTACGCTGTATTGCATTACTTTTCCACCAATTATTTTCAATGCTATCGATTTTTCTTATAATATATTTAAGATCAAAGTTTTGTAGTTTTTTGATCATATGGAATTGCCAAGGGAGTTTCTGTATGCGAATTGATTTTGAATAATTCATCCGAACGGGAAATTACTTTGGGATTTGAAAATATCTCTTTGTGACGCATGTTTGTGGCTGGAAATTTATTCAATTGAAAGACAACAGTTTAAGTAATGATTAAAAGCATTAATTAGACGGCAAAATTAGGTTAAAGATAGAGAAAAATGCCCAATTTTCACAGAAAATCCTGGAAATTGATTGCTTGCCCGGTTATTTTATTTATTCCATTCCAGATAACCTAAAATTGCGATTTTTCCATTTCACTACGAGATAATGACTATCAATTTTATCGAATTCATCGTGTCGCAAGACATGTCCATTGCCTGTCCTGGGAATGTGTCTGATGTGTTCTGCTATTGGGTACTTTTTCAGGCTTCTGCGAGCTGATTCCCAGCCAATTGCTGCGGCCGTTTGACGAGAGGGAGCTGGAGCTCGTGATCGGCGGCATTAGCAGTATTGACGTGAACGATTGGAAGCAGCACACGCGCCTGAAGCACTGCACGCCGGAGACGCAGCAAGTCGTGTGGTTCTGGCAGGTGAGAAACGGCGCTCTTCCCGGCCATGGCGGCGGGCTTTCTCACCCACTTTCTCTCTTTAATTCTCTGTTGGACAGATTGTGGAGTCGTACACGTCGGAGATGCGCGCGCGGCTGCTGCAGTTCGTCACGGGCTCGTCGCGCGTGCCGCTGCAGGGCTTCCGGGCGCTGCAGGGCTCCACGGGCGCCGTGGGGCCGCGCCTGTTCACCATCCACCTCACGGCGGACGTGCCAACGCAGAACCTGCCCAAGGCGCACACGTGCTTCAACCGCATCGACCTGCCGCCCTACGACACGCACCAGCTCATGTATGACAAGCTCACGCAGGCCGTCGAGGAGACGTGCGGCTTCGCCGTTGAATGATCCGCGCGCGCCGCGGCGTCCATCCGGCTGTACCTTGGCGCGATGCGCGGGAAGAAACGCGCGCTGTTTCCTCGGGTTGCGGGAGATTGGCGGGAAGAGGACGAAGAGAGATATTTCGATGGAATTTGAGTGATAAATGATTAATTTTAGTGTTTTTATTTTCTATTGCATTAAGATTAACTATATATTCTATTTGAGAGTGGATCAGCGAGAAAAAATTGCATAAGAGGAATTTTATCAAAAATGGTATACAAAAACACACAAAAAGATGAAAAAAATTTTAGGTAAAAGAGAGAATATAATTCGGAAAAAATGCTTGTAGAACATTTTTTTTATCTTATATAACTGAGATTATGGCGATGAAAAAAGTAGATAAATTTTCAGAGAATTGCGCGAAAGCTTTATATCATGTTCTTTTTACAATTCTTTTTGTTTGTAGCTTGAATTTGGAGGACAAAAATTGAAAAACACTTTTGAGCATTGTTTTTACTGCCATTCAAAGGCAATGGAAAAAGGAAGCAGAAAAAGAATTCTAGGTGAAATAATAATGAAGAAAAAACCCTGTGAAATATTTGATATTATTTTACTATTTTAACAATTTATAATCTTCATATGAAAAGTAATCTTTCAACGACAATTCAAACGGTCTAATGGAGCCTCCGAAGTGGAATTCGTTCTGTTTTTACGTCGATGTTAAGAGAGGAATGCGATTGATTTTTAGAGAAGATGAATTATATTAAGCGTTTCATTATAAAGAAAGGTCTATGTAATGTACTGATAAGAGAAGAACACAGCTGAAATGATATATAAATCTAGGACATAATTGAAGAAGAGGAAAAAAAAAACTACTGTATATACAATGATGAATCATATTTTATTTTGTAATTTTAAATAGGCCGAGAAAGGACAGAATTGAGTGACAAATTTGCCCAAGAACTTTGACTGCAACGCGCGAAATCGATTTTTCTTGCACAAAAGCACAACACACAATAATGAAGGCATTTCTGGGCGAATGTGTCGCGGAGCCAGGAAAGTAATTAAAAAGAAAGAAACATGATTTTTATCCAGAGAAAACATGCTCGTCTTTTTATCTGTAGCTGCGATTCTTCACGTTCGCCACTTCGTAGAAGTTGCTGCCCACCTTCTTGCGCTTCTGCGATCGCTGCAGCGCCCGCCTGGCCTTGGCCGTCATCTTCGGCTGCACGTCCTCCACGGTGAAGTTGCCGGATGGCGTGACGATCCTCTTGCCGCGCTTGCGTACCACTTTTCCCGACGCCTCGTTGAATTCATCCTCACTGTACACGTCCGACAGACCGGAAGATGACTCGTCATCCTCCTGGGCGGTGGCTTTTCGCTTCTTGCGCTCCTGGCGCTGCTTCTCCAGCAGCTCCACATCCATGGCGTCCAACTCCTTCACCTCGTCCGCCTCGAATTCTAAATTAACGCGGATCTTCCTGAAGTCCTGCGCCTGCTTCAGCTCTCTGCCCTTCTTCACGGGCTCCGCCAGCTCGGCGTCCTGCGATTCTCGACTCTTGGGCGTCTCGTAGCCCTCGGGCACGATGTAGAACGGCAACTTGCCGCGCTGCCAATCGTTCAGCACCATTCTGGCCACGACGGCCGTGTCTGGTTCGCCGCCCTTCAGCAGCTTCCCCGTCTTCTTGGCCACTTGCTCCAGGAAGTTGTGCGTGTCCTCCCAGCCAGTGACTCTGTACGTCCGCACGATGTACTCCTTGCGCACGCGCTTCAGCACCTCCGTCACGTAGTCCTCGGGATTCGTCACCAGCTCCACGCGCACAACGCCCTTCAGCACCTTCTCGGCGTCTGTCTCGGCCGAGGGATACACGACGCCCGGGCAGTCAATGAGGAAGATCCTCTTCATCAGCGTGATGTACTGCCACACTTTCGTCTCGCCGGCGATCGGCGCCACGTTGCACACCTTCTTGCTGCGCAGCGTGTTGATCACAGAAGACTTTCCCACATTCGGGTAGCCAATGAAGCCCACCGAGATCTGCCGCTTGTCGATGTGCAGCTTCCCCAGCTGGCGCAGCAGGTTGATCAGCGCCCCCTTGCCGAAGGGGTGCGTGAGGGAGGCGTGGAAGGCGATCGTGGGATACTCTCTGGACAGCACGCTGACCCAGCGCTGCGTCACCCACGTGGGCACCAAATCCACCTTGTTCAGCACCAGGAAGAGGTGCTTGTGCGGCTTCTCCTTGCGCAGGAACTCCTCGATGAAGCGCGAGCGCGTGCCCAGCGGATCGCGCGCGTCCAGCACCTGCAGCAGCACATCCGACGAGTCCACCACCTTGTGCAGCTCATTCCAGATGCGCTTGCTCTGGCCAGCGCCGAACACCCAATCGCGCACGGCGTCCTTCACGCCGTCGTCCTCGCGCACGAGATCGTGGTCCTGTGCCTCGCTGTACTTCTCGCCCAGCTCCTCGGCACTCCTGGACATGTCGGCCAAGTCCCGGACGCCGAGATTCGGCCGCTTGCGCTGCTTCTTCCGCCCGAACGTCGTCTCGAAGCTCTCCGTGTCCAGCAGGTGCACCTTCTGGTACTTGGCCGACTCGTTCAGCAGCGTGATGGGCAGCTCCGTGGGCTTGAGGATGACTTTGTACGGATCCTTCACGGCATTTCCCATCTCCTCCTGGAACTTCTGCAGCGCATTCTGCGAAATCACCCTCGAGTTGCCGAACCACTTCACGCTGGGCTCCACGCGCGCCACCGTGCCGGACGCCAGGCGCCCCTGGAAGGGCGCCGGAGTGAGGATCTTCCCGCGCCTGTCGCGCTTCGCCCGGAAGTTCCTGTACATCTGCAGACGATTGATTGTGGCCCTCGTTCGGGGCTGTCCGACGCCCTTCAGCCCCTCCTTGGGGCGCTCAGCGTTCAGACTGTGATTGGAGCGGTTGAAGCCCTCCTTCCGGGGCCGCCCCGATGCAGATCTCACTTTGGGCATGGCGAATTTCCTCGGTTTTCGCAGATCAAAACACTTCACAACAGGAATTCTGCACCTCGAGAAACCATGTGCGCAAACTTCCAACACCAGCCACGCGGTGTCTCTCGCGTCGACCACTTGCTGCTCAGTTCACATCGTTGCAGAGCGAAGGTGTTTTCGTTCGTGCTTGATTCTGGGCTGTTTTGCTGGCTCTCCTGGTGCTTCTCATCTCTGTCCTTGCTGTGGGGCGCGTGGCGACGATGGAGATCTCAGAATTGGACAAGAAGTTCAACATCGTAGACGCGAAAACGCCCACAAATCATCATCTCACGGCGCACTTCAAGAGGTATGGGCACGAGGGGGCGCCAAAAATAGCGCCCTGCGAAAATGTGTATTTCATTAGGGGAGAAAAAATATGCTAAATATGCTGATTTGGGGTGTCCTTTCGCAGGAGTTTTGCTCACTACACCATTAAGGATCGCCTGCCGGTAATACTCACACGGATCATTGATGGCTTGTCGCGTGAGAAGGAAGCAATCAGCTTGGCTTATGGTGAGGTGAGTTGAGGTCATTTTTCCTTGGATTTTCATCCATTTTCACTCTCTTTCGGAGTGTTCTGGTGCCCAGGATGTCTGCTGGTTGTGCTGGCTATGGCGCAAAGTCATGTTTAGCCAGGAGAACAGCTCGCAAGTCATCTTATCACTGCCCTTGACTTTCCATTGACTGGCTGACCCTGTTCGCTTCCGCAGGAATCCGCCGATGACCTGAAAGATGTGATAGGCAACATATCAAAGCTCAAGTACGAGTTGCAGACGGACAAGAAGTTCAAGCCGTTGGACGGCAATGACAGCGACCAGGAGGCGTGGAACGCCTTCCTGCGCGCCCTCCCGGACACCCACAATTCCTACTTCTCCGCCGTGTGGCTGCACGCCGAGTGCTACATGTATCGGCGCGTGCGGGCGATCTTCGCCGAGACGGCGACGCTGAAGCAGTTTGACTACTTCCGCAGGCAGAAGGAGGAGGCTTTCATGGGCAGCCTGGGCGCCTTCTTGCGCCTCACGGAGAAGCTCAACGAGACGCGCGAGGCGAAGTCGCGCGCCGAGCTGAAGATACTCTTCCGGCAGCTGCTGAAGGTGAACTTGTGGGGCAACAGAATCGATCTGTCCATCAGTGGTGGGCGGATTGTGAGCCAGGACGAGGACCCATTTGCCACTCTTGCCAATCTGGAGACGTTCATCCTGGCGGACGACACGGACGCGATCTGGGCGTGCGTGGCCAGCACGGACGGCAACATAATTGTTGACATTGTCAATGACAATGCCGGCTATGAACTGCTCACGGATCTCTGTCTGGGTGACTTTCTCATCTCGCACAATCTCGCCGCGAAGATTCGCTTCCATGTGAAGACCATTCCCTGGTTCGTGTCGGACGTCACGCCGCACGACTTCCGCTGGACGCTGGACAGCCTGTCGGTGCACGCGAAGGCGACACTGCGCGATCTGGGCTGTAGACTGTCCAACTACATGGAGACGGGGCACTTTGAGCTGCTCGAGGACGAACACTTCTGGACATCGGCGCACGACTACAGTGAGATGCAGCACGTGAAGCCCAGCGTGCACCGGACGCTGCAGCAAGCGCACCTAATCGTCTTCAAGGGCGACCTCAACTACCGCAAACTCCTCGGTGATCTCCAGTGGGACACCACCACGCCCTTCCCCGACGCCCTGCGTGGCTTCCGGCCCAGCAATCTCTGCGCGCTGCGCACCGTGAAGGCGGATCTGGTGGCTGGACTGCCGCGCGGACGCGCCGAGGGTCTGACAGCGAAGGATGCCAAGTGGATGGAGACCGGTGATTACGGTGTGATCCAATTCGCGCCCAAATAAGCCAACCCTGTGCGTGATTCAGCCAAAAACAGAAATAAATTCCCCCGTGTCCTTAAATGTGTCTTCGTTGTGTGAGCGAAATTAAAGATTTTGGGCGAAGTGCAAAGTTAGCGAGAGACTTTTCTTGTTTTTCGATACTTGCGTTTAATCCTCTTTGTCAGTTTTACACTTTCACATAGCTAAATATTTTGTTTGCTGTACTTCATAAATCCTTAAAATTATCCACTCCAGATACTCCATAAGATTTCTGTCTCTGCAGATTTTTTGTTATACTTCAAAAAACTCTTCACTTACAATATGTTTGAAACTTGAAATTGTTTTCTTCTCACCCTTCTCTTATCACCTAAAATATTTGCTATCTTGATTTATTCGTTCTTGTTGTATTTGTATTGTTTTGTGTTTGTCTATTGCAAAAGCGAGAGTATTACTTTCAATCGTCTAAGAATCGATTTGTTTCTTTTATTAAGTGAAGGAAAAGTGATGCGCGATTTCTGGAAGATTTGTCACTTAACACTCTTCACTTAAATATATTTTACTCTCTAAAAGTTTACACACGCCGGAAAACCATCTCTTCCCTCCCCAAAGTTCTCTCTCTCTCTCTTTTAAATAACTTGACGAAATATGTCATTACGAAGAATAATTATAGGGTAAGATTGTTAATTTAGGAGCTGAAGATGCCCTTCGAGCCGCGGCTTTGTCCAAGTGCGCGCCGGTTGTCGCCTTTATTGAGCCTCGTGGTGCGGCGGCTGGTGCGCCGAGGCGCCCTTCATCGGGCGATGGCGCCGAGCAGACGCAGAGTTGTACGGATGAGGATGAATGCTGCGAAATGGAAGAGAGAGAGTCACTTGCAATTGCGCATAATTCACCCAGGCGACGAAAATCTATCAATATTTCACACAAATTGCAGAAAATCATATGATCATGCTTCGGAACGTTAGAAAAGGGGATAAAAAAGGTGATAAGAAAACGGGCAAATAAGGAGTGTTCCACCCATAACGCAACAAGAATAGAAAGATTTTTGAAAAATATTTTCTCTGTAGTCAAATAAATTGCCTTCGTTATGGATTTAAAATACCGAAATTAGTTTGAAGTGATAAAAATCAGCCTGAATTCTTTTGTCATCGAAAAGAAACACACACAAAAAATGCAGAAAGCAAAAATCTCCTTCTAAGACTGCCCTGCCAAGTTATCAATTGATTTTCGATCTTTATCTTTATCTTTTTCATAACATTCCCGGGACGAAAACCAATCTTGATTTCTTGATGCATTAGCAAAGACACACTCCACATTCGCTCTTCTCTGTTATATTCGCATTGCGCTGAGAATGGAACAGAATGTGGGGCAATTTTGTGTGAAAGTCATTCAGCTGAAAATGCCAATTATTAAGCAATTTTCCCACGCTAAGCTAGGATTAATCTATTTTTGCATCCAACAGGCCGACAAGCAATCAATGTGACATGAAAAGAAAACGATAAAACATGTCTCATGTTAAGTGAGGGGGGGAAATTCGGTGTGCGGATTGCCAAAAGGTGGTTTCAAGTGTGAAAAATCACCTCCCCCGAGAGAAAGAGAGGGAGAGAGTGGGCTATTAATAGCGCGGAAGCGGGCGCGGATGAGCACACGAGTCTACCTGGCCGACAGAGGGAGAGTGAGAGATGGAGTGAGAGGATGAGTGGGAGAGCCTCAAAAGTCCCTCAAGCGATGGGAGTACTTTGAGAGGACGGAGGACGACGCGGAGCTGTGGCTGCGGCGAGCTCTAGAGACGGAAGAGAGAGAGAGAGAATGACAGACAGGATGAATGATGCTGGCGAGATGCGTTCTGAGCCTCGAGTCTGTCCGGGTGCGTGAGTAGTTTACCTGGCAGAGCTGCTGTTCGGCTGCAGCGCGAGCGGCGACGAGGCGGGCGTTCGCAGGGGGCGTCGCGGCGTGGCGAGGGGCGTCCTGAGGCGTCTGGAGCGCAATCCGAGGTCCACAGCCGACGAGGAGGAGGCTCTACTTGGGTTTTGTGTGTGCGTGTTTCGCGGAAGGAGCGCAAAACATGAGAGAATTGTGCGGAGAAAAGGTGGAAATAAAAGAGAAAGTTGGGCGCCGTACATCGATAAAAAAAAACAAATAAAAAGAGTCATAAGGGGCAGCCCAAGATGCGTGAGACTGCCATGGGCGTGTGGTCAGGAGGGGGACTCACCTGGGAGGCGGAGCGGGAAGGGCCAGAAGCTCGCGCTGCGGCGCCTGGGCGGGAGAGCCGCCGACGGCGAGAATGGAGCGCGACTTGGCCTGGAACTCACGGTCGAAGTCATCGGCATCGTCCTCGTCCAGATTGATGAAGTCCTGGCGCTCCTCCTGCGAGCCCGTCCGGGCGTTCTGCTCGCGCTCAATCACGTGCGCCCGCTCGCCGATGTGGTGGCCGATGGCCATCTTCTTCACGCCCGTGCGCGAGTCTTGCACCGTCCGCTGCGTCTCACGCACGCCGCCCGGGCCCGTCCGGCTGCTGCTGGACGCCTGGTACACGTGCGGGCGCCCGTCCGGCCCCGACGTCATCGACACGTAGCTGCTGGTGCTGTACGACTGCACGCCCGGATGGTGGTGGTCGCCCATGAAGCCGCCGGGCGCGGCCAGCAGGCGGTTGATGCTGGGGAAGCCGAAGGGCGTCAGTGCCGTCTGGGCGCCCCCCATGAGCGCCGGCGGCCCGCCGCCCAGGCCCTCGAAGCCCCCGAACATGCCGAAGGGGTCCGACAGCAGGGAGTTCATCATGTTGTTCATCTGGCGCATGGAGCGCAGGTGGTGGCTGCAAGGAAACACCGTCCGTGAGACACTAGACCAGGAGAGGCGAGAAAAGCCACGGAAAATCCCCGTCGCAAGGCCAAGGCAGAGACGTCAAAACTTGGAGGCGCTTTTCGCGCACTTCCCGCGCGTCTTACCCGAAAAAGGGATCATCGTCGAAGTCGTTGAGCATCGAGGAGCCAAACATGATGATCAGGTGCTGGGAAAATCACTCTCGAGTGTGGAAAATAAGCCTTTTTTGTCCTCTCTGCTATACGCAAAATACACACACTCACACACACTGAAAATTCTGGTACTTTCCTCGCGACACCGCGTGAAGTTGCGCGCAAAGCGTCGCCCTTCAAATCTCAACTGTCATCTGAGGAGTCTTCGGCTTCGTCGAAAACCTTCCTGGACAGCTCCAGCGTGGACTCAAAGAGATCAACAGTAGTGTTGAGATTCTCCAGAAGGTATGCCACATCAGATTCAGCGATAGGAAGTGATTTGGCGGCCTTTGGCGTGGAGAAATTCATGAAATTTGCAGCTCCTGCGGCAACAAGGAGATCCAGTTCGTCGATATCTTCCTCCTGGCGCTCTTTCACAGGTCTTTGTCTAGCCACATCGTAAAACAACTCCCTCCCGTTCAAATTGGTTACCTTGGGTGTCTGTGACACGATGCCAGCGATGATATCTGACAGATTTTCCACGTCTTCAGTGCTTTCCGGGAGATTCTCAACAGCCTTCAGGATGCTATCCTCCTTCTCCAGCTGCTGGAAGTACTTATCAATCCTCTGGACACCCTTTGGAACCACACCTTTCCGTCTGGGTGCCTTTTTCTCAATCTTCCTCAACTCATCCTTCATCTCATCGAACGTACTGAGCGAATCCTCGGGTTTTCGCTTCTTTTTCCTCTTCTGTGGTCTTCTGTCCAGGAATTCCTGCACTTCACGCGGATGAGCAGCCTCCAGGAGGACGGCAGGTTCGATTGTTGTCCACAGAGAATCTATTCCGGCCGGATTGTCCTGTAGAAAGGCCGTGATTTGCTCATCGGGAATCAATCCGTGGAAGAAAGGATTGCACTCTCGCCAGATCACCTCGAAGCTCGACACTCCCTTCAATGTGCGCTTCTTCTTCACCTCCCGAGGCGTCACCAGGGCCTCCTGTTTGGGGTGACTCAGCTGCCAACGCGTGAGAAGCGGCAGGATCTTCTGGAAGGCGTAAATTTCCTCCCACTGCAGATTCTTCACCATCATCCCGACGAATTTCAGCACTTTGGGACGCTTCCACGTGAGATTGAGCTGCCGTGGAGTCACTGATGCTTGCAGGAATTCATCGATGACATCCTGTTGTGGGAAATCATCGGAGAGCAGAGCTTTGCGGCGAATCTGAACCTCTGCCCGGATCAGAAGTCGCTTGTCGCGCCACAGGGAAGAATCACAGCCAGAACTCATGCCACAGAGTGCACATCCCTTCTTTGAGTGACTCTGAAGCCTCCCCGAGTGTCCACAATTCACGCACACGCTCTTGTCCTCGACTCTGTCCTCGAGATCCCGGAATTTCTGCTCCTGTCGCCGCCAATTTTGCACATGCTGCAGAATCTCTGCGTCAGAATACTGGGAAATGAGCTTTATGACGGAATCCTTCCCCACGCCAGCCACTCCTTCCGGGCAGTAGTCGCATCCGGCCAGCAGGGCCATGAGGATGATCTTGTTCTGTCCCAGATCCAGAATTGGGCCTATTTTCTCCATGTCGTACACATCCACAGCTCCTCCCGAGGCCGCCACGCTGCCCTGCTTGGCCACCGAGAAGTTCCTGTACACCTTCCGGGCTCCGTAGGCGAAGCAGTCGGAGTCCTGACTCACGACGCCATCCACAAGGCCATCGCGATTGAGATGGGCACAGAAAGCCTCCGCCTCGCCGGGGCCCTGGACACACTCCACGCCCATCGCGTCCAGCAGGTGTTCGCAGAGCTTCAGCACACCGTTGAAGCGCGTCCTGCCTTTCCTGCTCTCGCTCTTGGCGCCCTTGGCGGTGGTTTTCTTTGGAGCTCCGCCCCGGAATTGGAGATCATTTCTCCGGGCGATTTCGTCGTACTTCACCGACGGAGCCTCGCCCTCCAGCACAAAGACGGGAGTCACATTGGCCAGCAGCAAGTAGCACGTGCGATGGAAGAGATTCCTGGTCAGGAGGACGAAGAATCGTGAGTGTAAACAAAGGGATGTTGGAATTTTGAGGTTACCGAAGGTAGAGACGCGGCTGGATTGGATATTCCACCACATTTTGGTTCTCACACACCCACCCGCCGAGGTCGATGGCCACAACTCTGCCGGAGAGCTCAAAGAGGGGCTTCCGATCGTGATAGGGCTCCAGAACGGACCACAAATCCCGGATTCCCATCCTGGGTGGATGTAAAACCGTTGGCGTTTTCAGCACACACTGAGCTGAAGTCAGCCGAAAGCCAATCAAAATGAGGTTTGTGCCACGGCTGACACAATTTCTGATTTTGAATTGTGTTTGAAACACAGGTGAAACTAAGGGGGAAATAGACCAAGCAAAATATGTTCGAAAACCGCGGAAAACTTCACTTTGCGAGCAAACAAAGGATAAAGACGACTAGGCATTGTTAACCTTAATGTGAATTTGAACCACGAAAGTGTAATATTAAAATATTGAACACACGAATTCAACATTTTTTCCATTCAGACCAGGCAAAAATGCAGACCAAAATCTAAAAACACGATTCCAACGTTACAACTTTCGACTACGATCTTTTATCAAGGGAAAAGAGTTGAAAGACGTAGTAAAATATCCACAGCAGTTGATGAATTCAATGAAATTATAATCCTCAATTGAATACACTTTTTTTTTATTAAACTCTTTCCTTTTATAATTTTTTAAAAATTATTCTGTGTTGTTTTTCCATGGTCGAAAAAGGCTGAAGATTCTAGACAACGTGATTCTAAGCATTTGTCTATAATTAGAACCAGTTTTGCTGATTTTGGCTGCCACCAAAAATAACTGAAATATTTGCCATTGTTAATCTATTCTTAGTAAGTAAATTCTTTGCAATTAGAGACTTACAGGGGAAATTCAAGAAACGCGCACTGCCAAAATCAATAATCCTGATTTGTTGTGGAGTTGGTCTTGCCATCAAAAGTCCTGAAAGATGTCAAATTTCTATTGAATCAAACTCTTAAGTTAAACTGCTGAAGGAATGACAAAACTTACCAAACATTTCTGATGCCAGAAAGAGGAACAGAAGTTGGATTAATCCCAAAGAACGTTTAAAGCCAGCCATGTTGCGAGTCAAACTGATGTCTGAACAGCTCCTTTTCCGGTTTATATATTCACAAAGTTGGGGAGAAAATCGTGACGAATTGTTTTGAAGAAAAGACTCACGTTCTGATGTTGTTGCCTTAGCATCAACTGCTAAACAGTAATATTTTGTCTTTGTTGCTTAGACACGTTCTTGAAAGAATTCGATGTGAAGTTTATAATACACTTTTTGATGTTTACAAGGTCACTGCGCCTGGAAATATCTTGGTTGGTTTCTTTTTAAGCAAAATCATGGACTTAGAACTCTGAAACCGAAGTAAATTGATCCACATTGCAGGATTTTCCAGTGGAAATCGAGGAATTTTTACACAATCTATGATATTTGGTCAGAACCAGATATGAATTCAAGTTAAGTTTCGCAGGTGAAAAGTAATTAGGATTCTTTACTTTAATTCAAAATAAGGAACACTAAATGAATATCATTGTGAATATCAAGGAAAAAAACTTATTATTGAGAATAATATTCCTTAAATTTAAGATTGAACATAAATTTCTGTTCTTTTTTTTTACCGATTTTTGCGATTTGATCCTGTCTTAGCATTCAATGTTATTCTGGCTTATACTGATCGAGTTGGAATTATGAATAAAAATAAGAAATATAACTGAAATTATATTTTTCATGTAAATATATATATACATAAAATGTAAGCATAATTACTATAAAACGTCCCTAAAATTATTTTATGAGTTATTCCTTATTTTTTGCTTCTTAACGAATCGAGTGTGATACAAACTGATTAAAGAAATTTCTCATCAGCAACCAATCAACGAGGCTAAGATTTATTAATCCTGTTGTGAATTTGAGTCACGAGAGTTCTTTCATGGAAATATTGAACACAAGAATTCTACATTTTTTCATTCAGACCAGGCAATTATCTCACTTGCTCTTTTTCACGATGAAATGTTTGGAATTATCGACACTTATCGACACGAATTGCGTGCAATTTCTCTTATTTCTCACAATGTTAAGGGAAAAATAGGACTCACAATGATCAATTATAGTCTTTTCGGTTTCGACTATTATTTTTTATCATGAGAAAAGTGTCGAAAAACTGCAATTGAAATAAAATTTCCACAGAAGTTGTTGATTTTAATGGAATTATAATCTTTAATTGATGACATATTCTTTTTATTAAATTCTTTTCTTTTACATTATTTTATATTCCGTGTTGCTTTTCCATGATCGCCAACAGCTGAAGATTCTAAATAACAGAAATAACATTTTAGCATGGAGTTCTAGATCACGAAACCACTAAAATCCGACTTACGCAATCAACATTAGTCTATCATTAGAACCAGTTGCGCTGATCTTGGCTGCCACCAAAAATAACTGAAATATTTGACATTGTTAATCTATTCTTAGTAAGTAAATTCTTTGCAATTAAAGACTTACAGGGGAAATTCAAGAAACGCGCATCACCAAAATGAACAAGCGTTAAGCCTTGTGGAGTTGGTCTTGCCATCAAAAGTCCTGAAAGATGTCAAATTTTGTCGAATCAAACTCTTAAGTTAAACTGCTGAAGGAATAACAAAACTTACCAAACATTTCTGATGCCAGAAAGAGGAATAGAAGTTGGATTAATCCCAAAGAACGTTTAAAGCCAGCCATGTTGCGAGTCAAACTGATGTCCGATCAACTCCTTTTCCGGTTTATATATTTACAAAGTTGGGGAGAAAATCGTGACGAATTGTTTTGAAGAAAAGACTCACGTTCTGATGTTGTTACCTTAGCATCAGCTGCTAAACAGCAATATTTTGTCTTGTTACTTAGACACGTTCTTGAAAAAAATTCATGCCACGGAGATAATAAAATCTTCTCTATCGTGATAATTTGAACTTTAAGTTAAAAGTCTTGTCTTGAGTAACTGACGTCTTTCACTGTGAGTTGCAATCGGTGAATATGAAAAATTAGCCTCAAATTTTATTGAACACCAAGCGTTCCAAAGGTCATAACTCAGTTCGGGTGTGAAAAGTCGCAGATTCACGCCTTAAATTTCACCCACTGCGAATCTCCAATGCCAGAGAAAATGTGATTTCCTCTCCCAGTGCAGCAATTCTGCGTCCCTGGATGAATCCAGTGAGTAATCTAATTTCCCTCCTTATCCCATATTCGTGATGGCAACAGGAGGGCGGCGCGGGGGTGAGAAGGAAGGGTCGCCGTGCTGTAATTGTGGGACGGCAAGTTTCACCCGGAGGACGAGGAAAGGATTCTCGATCATCCGGCGAAGAATGGCCTTTCGTCACCCATAAAGTCCGTGATTGGGGCGAAAGTTAATTTATGGGCATTTTTGCGAGAAGAGAAAAGTTCGGCGCAGGCAAATATTGCCTCAACGCAATGAGAACTACACAGGATAATTGAGTGGGTGAATATGGTCCAATGCGTCATCCTGAGTTAATGAAGAAGCTCATCGTCATCTTTCCTCACTTTCGCACAGGAATTTCGCATTTGATTAGGCACGAGTCTGGAGAAGTTTAAGAGCTGAAAACTATTTGAGAAATCCAAACTTTATCTCTCAGGTTACATGATAAGGAATGTCCTTTGCCTTGGCAACACACACGCTTCCACAATGAACTGGGAAATGTGGGAAATTCACAAGAAGACATGCTTTTTGATGTAAAATTTTCTACCTCAATTTCTGCACTTTGACAAGATTTTCAGAGATTTTCCTTGGGTTCGTGAACAATATTTGCGGCAAAGGAATAATGCGCTTTGAATGAAGCTTTAAAACTCCGCTCATCTGTGATTCTTTGTTGAGAAAAACTCTTCCTTTCCACTGAATATTCATTCACTGAATTGCTCTCAGGATTCTCCATGGCAAATTTGCTGTTTCAATGAATTTTGTTGTTTGTATTTTATAACACACACGCTTCGGATTATCTGGATTTTCTTCGCTCTCCTGCGTTTCTCGCATTTTTCGCCTCTCTGATTCGCCAATTTGACACGGAAATGCTTTAATACATGAAATATTGGGATTATTTCACCAAACAACCCTTTTTTCTCACCGCCAAATCACGGAGAATTTTCTCACAGACTTTCATTTCATCAATCTTGTGAAAATTTACACAATGCCGCCCGTGGAAAGCGTCGGAAAATCGGTCGGGAAGCAAATAAATGAAGAGGGAAGAAAGCCGGAAGAGCGTCTGGCCGTGGCACGGGAAGGCATCTGAGGAATGGGCGTGATGGAAGTGGTCAAAGGACAACTCATGAATGGCGAAGACTGTTGCGAAGGGCGAAAAATCAATCAATTTGTGTCGCTGTGAAATGGAAAGTTTTGCTGACAAAGAAACTCTGTAAGATATTCCAAATACTTCGATGACTTGTGATAAATTCGATCTGGTGGAGGGAAAAACAGAGAGAATTTTCTAATCCCTTTTCTAGAGTGCGACGCATTCACTTATTCTGTAATTCGGAATTAAATCCTGTTTTTGCCGCGAATGCGCGACAATATTACATTTTGAAGAGTAATTCTCTGAACAACACAAGGCAAAGCAAGTGGTTTAGCAAATGGTAAAATTGTCATCGTTTGATGGTCATTCATTTCCTGTCTCTCCTCGTTTTAATATCTGCTTTGTGGGCGATTTTCATCACTGAAGCACAAAATTCGTTTTAATATGGCAACAAGAGTCGCTTCGCTTCATTCATTGAAAGATGAGTTAAGCGATTGGAGGAGAACTTGGATGAAAACCATCCAGGAAAGGAGGAAAATCTTGTGCGTGCCAAGGGGAAGATAATATGGTCAGAAGTGGTGTACAAAGCAGTAGAAATTTCCATAATATTTGGTTCATCACTTTGATTTTCTGTTGATTATTTTACTCTCAGAAATTTATTTTTATTCAAGTGACTTATTAAAAGACGATAAAAGATTATACAATATAAATTTTTGCACTGAAAAGAAAATTTCTATCATTTATTAGTAGAATAGTATATTTTCACTAATTGCAAATCACAATTTTGAAAACTAAGCGGATTCAAATCGAACATAATCTCAAATCAAATCTTGAGCCAGAAAGATTCTAATTAAGAATACGATATTGAAAAGTGCAAATAAAAGTAGACAGTCTGAAAATCAGAGAAATTAAACTGTCAGTTAGATTTCAGTTATAGTTTTTAGTTGATTTTAGTCTTGCTTAATATGTCAAGAATTGATGTACAGCATATTACATATTATCTTTCCCTTGTTGTGAGCTTTTGAATAGAAATAATTGAAATTATAGGGAAAGTCTTTAATGTTTTATATTCCCAATGAATACATTTTTAATGTTACGTTAAGTTGAGCTTTGATTCAAGTTTTTTTTCACTTCTATACAAGCTTCTATATAAATAAAAGAAGTTTTATTTAACAATGAATTATCGGAATGATCCAAGGAATTTTTACTGCACGTTTTCAAATACTTCAGTAGCTTTTTTTCGTGCTTTCAACCGAATTTTATATCACAAAAGAAAAATTTATGTTTACAATGCAAAAGAGCTCTTTTTCAGCACTCAAATTTGGATAATAAACAGTGAATTTATTTGTAAAAATAATCCCTTAACAATTATGTGTAACTTTTGATTTTTACCCTTAAAAATATTACATTATTTATGCAATGTGTAAAGAAACCGCGCAAGTTGTGAACATTCGCAATTATTCTCTTTCGCATTTGCCCAGCAATTTTCCCATCTTGCAAACCTTTATTTGCACTCTGTGCTCCAGGTTGAGGGTTTTCCACTCACGTCCGAGCGTTTGTTTGGTTTGCCTTTTCAAAGAAAACTCCTTTTCTCCCGTGTTTGGGCCCATTTCTCCTCAATCATCACAACTGTTGATGCCTGTTAACGAGACAGAAGCACTCAATGTTATTTACCACAACTATCAGTCTTGACGCCGAAGTGCCTGATAAATGATTTATTGACACAGAATTAGGGAAATTTTCTTCTTGTTGTAAATTATGCCGCATTTCCTCTTGCGCGCACACTTGAGGCGCCCTTTCAACGGATACAAATTGCTCAGACGCTCCTTCAATACATCCTTGTTATCCATCTTCTTGTTCTCTCTCCGCTTCGGGATTGAGAATCAAGATTGAAGGCAGTGGATTTTTCACCGCAAAGCAGGATTTACGCACTATGTGTTTTTGTCGAATACACTTAAAACAACGCCTCGAGCTTTAGGGTTGAAGTTTGAAAGCTCAGCAGCTTCTCAGGAGGAACAACATTTTGCCAAATGTATAATTATTGGAATATGTTCGATGCGTTTGAGTAAAAACATTTGCCAAAAATTTATTATTACCATGTTATTAATTGTTAAAAGCGGAAAGCTTGAAATCGCGAAAAAATGCTAAAACTTTAGTCATAATGCATATCAAGGGAAAATGAGTGAAGTGATGAAAATTCTTTAATAGAAAGAGCCAAATGACTCTAATTTCCTTCCGTCTTTGATGTTCGGATAATTGAACTTGATTATCTCTTATTAAATCAACATATTTGCTTATTAAAATTGCATGTACAGATTGTTTGTCACACAGAGATATAAGAAAAATCGATTACATTGAAAATTGATTGAAAAGTAATGCAATATGCAGATGTTCAGCATGCATAAAATTTCCCCTTATTTATGTATATTTAATGACAAAATAATTTAATATTCCTGTGCGTCATGAGAAAATTAGCGCACTTTTCAGACGCCTTGCGATTGAAATCAGGACAGCTTTTCAGTTTTACAGCAATTGTTAAACTTGTCGGAAGGATTTTCTCATTCTCAGTGCGCAAAATGAAAGTTTCCAAGCAATTGGAGAAGTTTAAGGGTGAAAAATCAGTGATTGATTTCCAAATCTCCGTTTTGACGATCAACATCTTTTCTGGTCCGTGGAAAAATCGCCTCTTGGCCGTGATTTTTCCTCTCTGTTCCATTCTTGGATTAATCTTCACAGGCTTTTGCCTATATAATTCATTCTCAACTGAACTGAACATTGATATCATTACGACGACATTGTTTTTTCTCGGTCTTTTCCAAATTATTTCAAAATCAATTATTGGCTTCATTGAACGTCAGCATTTCTTCAATCTTCGCAAATGGATTGATTTTCTCTACAACGAAGAAGAAATAGATCCTGATATAAGGGAAAACCTGGAAAGGCATTTGATTCAATCGCTCGAAATTTGGATGTTTCTGACCAAGTGAGAATAATTTACATGCAATGTTAATTCAGATTTATTACATAACAAAATGGTTTCAGATGGGGAACGCGATTTCTAACCGCGGCAGGAATAATAACTACAGCTACAATGACACCAAAGAGCAAGATGGGCTTTATTATGCAAATTCCTGGCCCAAATGCAGTTCCTGAGGAAGTGATTTTTGTTATCCAAATGGTATTGATAACAATTCTTGCCGTATATCTAATAACACTTGACTTGGGAATAATTTTCATTGGCATTCAAATTATGGCAGCGCTAAATATTCTCAATGATTGCATGAAATTGATCGATGAGAAAACTAAGGAAATTCCAAATTACCTCAAATCAATCATCATTCGCCACAACGATATTATCAAGAACGTGAATCTGTTCAACGAAGCAATTCAAAAGATGGCGTTTGTTCAGGTCACAAACGGTACTTTGATTCTGATATTCGTTTTCGTTTTCTTGTGCAAAGAAAGCGATCAAATTGCAGGATATTTAATATGTTGTATTGGAATTGGTCAAATTTTTCTCCTTTGCTTGTTTGGCGAACTCATCAAGATGAAAACCGAGAGACTTTCGGAGACTCTTTACCTCACAAACTGGTACGAATTGAGCGTGAAGGATCAGAAGACGTTTCTTCTGATCCTCGCGATGGCGCAGAAAGATTTCGGACTGAAAGCGGCCGGAATGTATGACGTCAATCTGAACGCCTTTGTACAGATCGTCAAACTGGCCTTTTCTTACTGCACCGCTTTGTATGCTTTGAGCAAGTGAAATGTTAATACGAGAGGCGTATCATTGAAATGACACCGAAAACATGTCAGAAAAGAATCTTTATCCTCAAGTGATACATTTCAGAAATGCTTTAAAACCCTCAGTCATGGGAAAGAGCAATCATAATTAGAAAATTCAAATAGAATGCTTCTATTTGCGCACTTTTAGCTTAATAAAACGCAATAATTATAGTTCAGCGCCGCTAATTAAGTGTTTAACCGAAACAAATACTTCAATGCTTTGAGAAAATTCTGAGATTTTCAGCTCTTTGCCGTTGAATAAGTGACTTCACGGAGACTTTTGGTATTTTCAGGGGAAATATAATGCAATTGCTTATCAAAATCAATTAAATAAGGAGGAATATGGCTTCAATATAATGTTACGATATTCAGACAATCCTCGAGCAAAAATAAACTCTGTCTAACAAGGCAGATAACAAGGCTCGGTTTCATATATGAAAGTTAGAAAGTAATTATTGCGAAAAGGGTTTTGTGAGGTCTGGTTGGAAATTGCATTTTTCACCACAATTACATTGTATTTTAATTGCTCTTATTAAATGTATTTTCAATTCCTCTTTTCTAACGCACAAATAATTACTTTTCTCTTATCGTATTAACCAAAATCATGTGAGAAAATCGGATTATTTGCAGAGAGCCAGAAAGCGGCTGGTTTTCTCCCAATAACTCGACTATACTTGGCGCGCGGCTCCGCGGCTTCGGCGTGTGGAGTGGCAAGAGAGTTTGCCGCAGCGCTCACATCGGGCCCATTAGCTCAGTTGGTTAGAGCGTCGTGCTAATAACGCGAAGGTCGTGGGTTCGATCCCCCCATGGGCCACTCTTTTGCCGCCTTTTCCCTTTTTTCCACGAGGGTTGCGCGGGCAAAAAGTGGCCCATGGGGGGATCGAACCCACGACCTTCGCGTTATTAGCACGACGCTCTAACCAACTGAGCTAATGGGCCCTGCGATGCCCGCACGCGACGTGGCTCTGTTCCTGGGCAAAGAGTAAACAGTTTGGGATGAAAAGCGCGCGCCAGAGAGCATTTTTATAAACACCAAGCGAGCATGTGTGCAATCCTAATAGACATTGTTTATCATTCCGAACTTGGTGGACTCTATAAAGATGCGATAATGAGTGATTGAAGCACGTGAAAATAAATACCAGAGAGAAATTCACCATACATTTGCACACTGTCAAGTCGTAATTTAATGCGAAGCTCAGAGGCCCAGATTTTGCCACAGCCAAAGAGACGCGCCAAAGGAGATTCTGATCAGGCGGCGGATAAGGCGAAATGTGGCTTCGTAGTTGAAAAGTTGTGCCTAAAGAACGCTGCCAGTCAATCAGATTAGCGGGGCTAAATTGAAAGAACCGTCATTATCATGTCAGCAGCCAAAAATTTCATGCAAGACGCCCACGGACTTGATAATCACCCAATTATGGGCGCCACCCCCTGATTAGAATCCCCTTGATGGCATCCCAGCGCTGCCAATAACATGTGCTTCTCGGCTTGAGCCCAAAATTACTCCCTGCAGCTCAATTTTCCACCCCGCAACTTGCCAGGTAGTTTATTAAAGGCGCGCTTCTGACTTTTCCGCCATGAGGCACCGAAAGGAATTTATGAAAGGGAAAATTCAACCCTTTGTAGTGACGCTCAGTCGAGTGTATCTCTCTGTTATGTGGAGTATTGCAATAAAGACGATAATAAATGTGATTTATTAACTACACAAGAATATCTTTGTATCCATTAAAGTAGGAAGGTTTAAAACTTCTGTATTTGAGAGCTGATTTGAAAGAATATTTGATGCAAATGAAAGGTAAGTCCATTGCTTTCAGTTCATATCATTAGACACAAAATTCGTAAAATTATTGTTTTGACGTTGAAGAGAAAAGAAAACAGTAAACTCCGCCCATTTCAATGCTCCGCCCACTCAGAAATTCCTACAATAAGGAGCAATAAGAAGAAGTGAAATTCCTTTTGATTTTACGTGAGACTTGAATATAATTCATTGCATTAAAAGTTTTACCCCAAAATTTTCTTGTTAATTTTCTATCACAGCTTTGCAAATATTCCGCACGAGGAATTCCAATTGATATTCCTGAAATGACTCTCACCTTGGCAGGAGTGCGTCTTGAATGGGTTTCCATCCTTTTTTTAACTCTATTATTTCAGTGCCATTCTCCGGAGAAACTCCCTTCAGCCACTTGAGTGACACAATCTCTTGATTTAAGCTCAAATAAGGTCAATTTCAATGTGAATCTCTTCATGTTGGACTTTTCCTCTGGTCGCTTTATATTGCTTTTCTTCCATTTGCTTATAAATTATTCTATAGCAGAAATTTGGCTCTTATCATTGTTGGATTTATTTGCTAAAATCAATGTCATGCTGTAGCTTTATGTGTTGTGCTGTGAGTCAAAGTGGGATGTTATCTGTTGGGCGCAATAAGCTTTTGTTTGGAAATTGAAGCATTCAATTAAATACAGCTTAATTATCCATTGATTGACTCATGTGGCAATGTTTGTGTTATAAACTAATTTTAGTTGCAATTAAGTACACTTCACTGTGCTATTAATGGCCAATAATTGGAATGTAACGCTATTGTATTTGTGTATGAGATTGTTGAGCATTTTCTTTTGCCCGGCGCGCTTTTCATGATTTTATATATCCTCTTTTCAACTGTCCTGGCTGTGGCATTTGCTGAGAATAAGTGCTTTACATTATTTACCCAGCAGATGAAATGCATGAATTCGCAATACGACAATATCTCATGACAATATCGAACATCTGTAAAGCTTCCTTCCTTTACGTCCTTCTGAAGCAAATCGCAAAATTCTATTTGCATTCTTTTCCTTCGAGCGTCAAAAGCGATGTTTTTCGTTTCTTTTTTTACTCGGTGAAATTATCGCTGAATTTCCTCATGAATAAAATTCAGGAGAATGGAACATTTTATCCACACTCTCGCCATTCGTTCAGTTTAACACAATTTCAATATATTAATAAAATTTCACGCTTTCGCCAGCACCGAAGGGAAAACACATATCATGTTGGGCGACGCAAAGCTTATAAATCGACTTATTTGGAGATTCTGAGAAACCTCGAGTTGTCTTTAAATTTTAAAGACACGCGGCATAATTATCCACCGTTTTCTTCTCAGCCACACAAAGTGGATAAAATGAAAAATTTGCCCAACAGTTTGTCCAATAAAACGATGTAATAAGTCAAAAGCCAGCGACAGATCTGACTGTGTCCTTAAAGAAGCCACAGAGAAGTGGAAAGGCAAGAAATGACACAGAAAAAGGGAGTGAAGAGAATGTTAATATTTGTGTGCTCATGAGATCAAAAGAGCAACAATGGCCTCGGGTTAATATTAAACAAGGGGCAAAATGAATTTTTCAACTTTTATCTCCCGCCAAGGCGTCGAATCCTGCTGGGAAGGGCACTCGTGGAACCACATCTAATCTAGTATTTTGACAAGATTTGAGGACAGAAAGGAGAATTCCTTAAACGACCCATTCAGCGTGATGGAGACAGATTTATTTCAAGTCTGGCTTTTCTGGCAGCCTCGAAAAAAATGGACAAATAAGCTCTGCCACTCTTGCATTCCAGATGATGATGCCTGCGTTGGTGATTTCAGCGAAATTCTGCGCAACTCCTCGGAAGAGCCACTGTTCGGTGCGTCACATGCGAAAGTGCGTTGCTTTTCAATATACAGACAAATTGTATTGCTTTTCATTACAACAGAGCTTTTTCCCTTAGTTTAGGAAGAAAAAAGACAGATGTTTTCAGTCTCTTTAAAAAATATAAATAAAAAAATTCAATTCCAATTTTTCAAATCGAAAGGCAATTGTTTAATTAGTGGTTAAAACCGCATTTTGTCCTACTAAAATAGGTTTATTTGCCTCAAAACAGCATAAATAAAGTCAATAAATTGGCGACTTGCGAATAAAATTGAAGAAACAAGTTTCAATCGGGTACCCCGAATATTTCAAGCAGATGACAGAAGTGTCAATGATTTTTCCAACAAAACGTTTTCGCTTTTCTCTCTGGTAGTTTTACAATCTATTGTGAAAAACAGTTCACGAGCGAAGAAAATGCGAAGTGAAGAAGAGTTTAAAAGACAGAGAAAGAGGAGTGAAAAGTTGGCGTCACTTTTGTCAACCAGAATCTGGCAACTCGTTCGAGCAATGTCGCAGCAAATTCCATCGAATTGGAGGACAAACTAAAGTTCATGTCTATTAAGTCCCTTAGAAATACAAATGTCCATAAAAATGCACTTTTTAGTGATAATTTGTGGATGATTTTTGGATAAAAAGTACACAAATATCTTCTAATTAATAATACTGAGTCTAGTTAATTATTATTATTTATATTTTGATGGTTTTTATTTAACTATAAAATGACATGAGACAGAATTAGATTCATTGCTTTGAGCTCGAAGGAATACTTTGCATCACTTGTGGTCTCTTGCGACAGTGTTGCATGGGCGGCGCGTCTCGAGACTTTTCCTCTGAGTTGGAGCGCGCGATTTTGTACCTTGCGAGCGCTTCGCAATCTTCACAGCCAGTCAGTCTTCGGCGCGTTGATGATCCTCCAAGTCGTTGGGAAGCCACAGAGGCTGGCAATCTAATCAAGGATAGCTCGTCTCGCTCATCAAGCGCCAATCTATTACGCTGAGTGTGTGTGTCGATAAAAATTTTCATAAAATTTCTCATCTCCCCATCAATCGCCGCTGCTCGAGTTGGGCGCCAAAAATCTGCATATGAATTGTCCTCGATGAAGGATTTGGCAATTTCGGCGAGTGAGTGGAAAAGGAAAGATTCAGTGCGATGCGAAAAGTGTGACTATTTTTGTGCTCAAGAAAAAATGTAAAAAGAAAACGCAACTCTGCATATAAGACGTGTGATTACCCAAGGAAAGGAGAAGTGAATTATAATTGTAAAGTATCGATTTTATTGGTAAATTTGTTTGCTTTTGCGGTGGTGGATTAACATCGTTAAAAATAGACAATATCGTTAAGTTCTCACTTGTGGCGCTCCTGGGCAAAAGTCGCGTAGAAAAACTCTGCTTCACTCTGAGTAAGTGAAAGAATTTCTGCTACATTTTTTCTCATGTACCAGAGAATTTACAAGCGCCTGCATTGACTTTACACTTCAGTGGAAATGGAGAGAGAAAATGTGAATGAAGAGAAGTTTTTTTTTCTTCTTCTCAAAGGATAATTTTAGATCAAGTTTTCTTAGTCATCTTGCGATCGAGCACGACGTTTTCTCGCTGAACTTTCAGACAAGTTATTTTTTTATAATCATAAAATTTAATTAAATAGTGATAGACATTCAATTTCCAGAGCAATTAACTTCCCCTGACGGAAGAAGATTAGTTTATGGTTTTAATTACAATATGAGGTGAAATTTGTGGGAGGAAAGAGATTAAATTTTGACATCAATCTTCGAGGCTAAAGCAAGGCAGTGGTAAAAAGTGAAATTACACAAATCATCAGATAAAATCGAAGACCTTTCCTGTGACTTTGACATAAGAAGGAAAAGATATCGTCTAATCGCATTGTCCTGACGGTAATTGAGTTTCCATTCACTCTATGTATGACAAGTTGAGTATCAACTTGTCAGTTTTTTTTTTTGCTGACATGAATAATAATATTGTTTAAACACAATTTCCTCCTGCAAATCGAGAGACAGGAAGAGATATTTCTCATCCATCCCTGTCAATTTCCACCCTACTTGCGATGCCCTCAGCCTGAGGGGCTGCTTATAGAATTTAAAGCCTTCTGAGACACTCGCCTTTGCCAGCTTTCGCCAATCTGTCCAGACGTCAAGATGATTAATTCCTCCTCAGCTTCTGAGTCAATGTTGCTCCGAGTCATCTCGTGAAGTGATATGAATTATTATTGTGGCGCTTGTAAAACTTTTCCCACCATCACTTAAATAGCCCGCGTGATTTTGATGCCTAAAAATAGAACATCTGATCCTGAACTTTAGTGCTTTATTAACCGCCAGAGTGAAAAAAGGGCCGCGTGTTGATTTTTCTGCACGCAAAGACACTCACAGTTGTTAATTTGTGGAATTGCGCCTAGGAAGCATCTCTCATTTCCTTCGCAATGATTACATTCAAGAGTCGCGCCGCGACGTTAAGAATCAAGGGGGAAATACCACGATTAAACTGTGTCACTTTCCCAAATTCCTTGGGAGAATCACAGACACTTCCAAAACCCTGGCAGTGCTTAAAACATGATTTTTTCGGAACTTCATACATTTTCATAAAATACATTTTCGTCTTCATAAAAAGACGATATTTTTAACTTAAGAAAATGTGTTTAAGAAATATTTGAAGTTTCCAGTGGATATTCTGATGTGATCCAATTCTAAGTTCCTCAAAATTGCTTAAAGATATGGAAAAGAATCCTTGAAAGAAACTTATTCGGAATCTTTAAAACGCAAGATGAATCGGAAATAAGCTAAAATTTCAGCTATTTCAGAGTGAAAAGTCAATCAAAAAGTTCTTAAAATAGACAATTTTGTATCCTGAAACAGTATTTTAGAGGTTATGATCAATCTTAGCATAATTAAGATCATTTTAACACAAAAAGCTTGTTTCTTCGTTAGATTTAGTTACTATTGTGACAGTAAATGTAATTTATGGCAGTTTAGACACAATAATTAATGATTTTGGAGGTTATTTAGTGGAAAAGTTTGTCTTAAATTCATAACATAACCTAGAAAGATGCAAAGAACAATTCTTTTTCTTCGAGTATTGTGTTAATTTCTCTTTAAAGTAACTTTTAAACGCACTTTACTGTAATATTTCGACTTTCAAATACTTCCACAGATCTAAATCACTTGTGACTGTGATATTTCCCCCTCGATGGAAGTTGAAATGATGAAAATGCGCGAAAGTGTGGCAGAGGGAAATGAAAATGTTTACAATGGGCAAAAGATAGAGTGAGTGAGATTAGAATGAGAGATACAAGCATTTGCAGAAGGAATTAATTGATTGATATTTCCCTCAAAAGGTGGCAATTTTCCATCTCGAATGAAATCTTCTCGCTGGAATTACCAATTTATGTTTGCCCAGAGGCAGAAATTCGACTTGTTGCGTGCTGAGAAGGAAGCAAAGATGAAATATTAATTGGCAAAAGTGTGTGCTTCTGGCCTCGCGGGAAAACAGCCTAAATCACTCAAATTGTCCACCAGTTGTATAATTTCTCATTTGTCATCAATTAAGAGAAATATTTTGAGACATTGCTTGATTACTTCGCCACCATAAATTCACTGAAATGTCACACAGCAACATCAGCATGACGAACAATAAGATATTCAGCATACAAACTGCACTTGAATTATCATAAAACTTTGCATAATAATACAATTTCAGGCAAAAAAGTGCACAAAGCGAGATTTAAAAGATGTCTGGGTCAGTGAAAAATAGCAATTTCTATGACAAATCTATTAATATTCATCCAGCAACTGACAAAAACATCATCATTTGGATGAATCAAGGGACAAATGCACGTTTTTCAGCGAAAAGAAAATATTTCTTCCCTGAATCAGTGCATGTAATTTAACTTTCTCAAACTTCATTATAACTATAGAACATTTTGGCAAGGTTCATAATGTTTCGAAGCGTGTTATGAATAAGTTACAGAAGAGTGGAAGAATCGCAACAGTTTCTTTAAATTCAATTATCAATTCACGCCGTGTTTTCAACATCAGTCGTCCAAAATCAAGCTTCCCGCTGAACTTCACATTCCTAATTGACCACCAATGAAGTTGAATTTAATTGGCAAAATTTGCATTCTATACCACGTAATCGGGTCGTTTGAAGGCATCAATGATATTATCAATAATTTCTTCATTCACATTTTCTCAGTGAATCTTGGCAAAGCTCAAAATTGCAGTGAAACGATTTATTTAAAACTTCCTCTCTTTGCTCAAACGAGGAAGCATTCAATTTATCTGAAAGTTTTCTGAATGAGCGAAGTTTGTCAGATTATGGTGAAAGATGTTATAAAGATAATTTCACTGAACTCTGCGAAATACGATGAAGTGGACCTAAAATGAGCAGCACCATATTTTATTCTTATAAATTATATGTACACACATAAACAACATTTCAGCGCAATCAGTACAATTTGATAAGCATGATTTAGGTATTTTTACCTCAGTTTCCGGGCAATTTCCTACAGAAAATTTAGATAATGAATAATTCTATCTCATTTTTGCCATTGTCGTGGTGGAAAAGAAAAATTCTGAGGGTTGAAAATATGTAATTTATAGATAAAACTTTGAGATTTGTTCATATTTCTCGGAATTCTGGCAATTGAAGTGACTGCGTTGGTGTCAGAAGATGGATTATCACTTAGTATTCTCAATAATTTACCAAACTAACTGTGCCCAAGAGAGTATCGCTTGCCCTATTGCATTTTCTCTGCATTGTTAAAACTTTCTGAGGATCTACAAGCAAAATCTGGGATGTTGTGTTTCTCACAATTCTAAAAAGAAAGAAGCGCCAACAGAATAAAGGGATATATTTACTTTGGATTAGGTAAATCCAATATATTTAGCATGAGAAATAGTAAACAAATTCACCCAGAGAGTGTCCTTTTTTGTGTCCTCCCACACACATACACACGCAAGATGCTCCTTTTCCGGGAAAGATGATGTTGTGCTCTCGAGGAGCGGAAGTTGAGCATCACATTATTAACTACGTGGGTCGTAAGGAAAGTTTGTGGGCTCGGAAGACACTGTGTGATGGACAACAGTCCGGCCAGTAAATTGTATTTGTTGCTCGCATAACGTATTTACGGGGCGATGTGACGTCAGAGGCGCGTAGATGAGCGCGCTGGAATTGGATGTCACAGCGAAATGACGGCATCACATCTCATTTTCATTTCCCATGCAATCACAGTCGATGCTGTTCTAGCCAGGCTTCTTAATGCATGTGTCGCAGAAGATGTTCAATTTGTTTCTGTCACAGGGTGGAAATTGAATTATATATGCGATATAATGCACGGGCGTCGCAGCGCGCCCCCGTGCTCACAGGACGCACAAAGGAGCGACTATGTGTGCACACTCAGAATTGTATTGGCTGCTCATAATGCGATTTCCCACTGTCTCTCAGGTCATGGCGAGTGGCATGGATGAGAATTTCACAGGTGACTTTTTCCTCAACGCCTCAGAGGACACCCTCTTCACGGCCGATCAGACGTTCACGTCCGACATGCCAAATGCGACAAATCCCAGTGACGACTACACCCCCTACCCCGACCGCCCTGAGACCTACATCGTGCCCGTGGTCTTCTCCATCATCTTCGTGGTGGGGGTGCTGGGCAACGGCACACTCGTGGTGGTGTTCGTCCGGCACCGCGCGATGCGCAACATCCCCAACACCTACATCTTCTCGCTGGCTCTGGCCGACCTGCTGGTCATCCTCATCTGCGTGCCGCTCACGTCCATCATCTACACGATGGACTCCTGGCCGTGGGGCGAGACGCTGTGCCGCGTGTCCGAGTTCGCCAAGGACATCTCCATCGGCGTGTCCGTCTTCACGCTCACCGCCCTCTCCGGCGAGCGCTACTGTGCCATCGTGAACCCCCTGCGGAAGCTCCAGGTGCGCGCTTCAAATCTAATCTAGCTCTTTGCTGACCAAAGTCACTTTCTGTGCCAAAATGCACAGAACTTTTAAGCACTAAGCAGCGTGACTTCTCAAAGTAATGTCTAAATTTGATAAGAATGAAGCACTCAGGAAGGCAATATTGACAATTTCTTAACATTCTTACTTCTGCCTCACTGTACAGCATCTCCCTCTTGACTTCCTCTTGCGCGTAATCTGATAACTCCCCCAAATTGCAGACGAAACCCTTGACCGTCTTCACAGCGGTCATGATTTGGATTATCGCCATCCTCTTCGCCTTGCCAGTCGTCATCAGATCAACAGTGGTGGAGCGGCCGGTGAACAGGAACAAAACCATTCTGATTTGTGATCCATTCGGACCCGAGGAGGACAGCTTTAGGCCGACATACAGAAAGTAAGTGAATTTCTACCGAGAGAGAGAGACAATCAATCAGCACGCGTAATGAAAATTGCTTTCTCACCTGTCGCAACGAAGCAATTTGTAATAAGATTTGCCATAACTATTTTACTGTCTGAAATTAATCAAAAGTGCTGAGAGACTTGATATTTCAGCATCGTCAGACAATTTCATGCCTCAATTTGTCAAGAGATGGGGAAAAGTTACAAGAAATGCAATTTTAATCAGTCGCGAAATGGTGTCAGAAGTGGAATTTGCACAATGAAGACGTTTAAAATGCTGCAATTTAGTAAATTTTTGCTCACTGTGAACATGAAATATCTTCTTTTCTGTGATTCTTAAGGGAAAATAGGAGATTTCATCCTTCTTCTACGAACTTGAGGGCGAAAATCACAGCATTTCCAAACCATCGAAAGGTGTCATAAACTCCAGAGTTATTTCCGCACAGAGTAATTCATTGTTGACGTAATAGATAATTTAGTGGTATTTTATTGAATGGCGGATTTATTAGGCAAATTAATCGGCCATAAATTGTACGCAATTTCATGTTGGGATTCTCTTCTCATCCTCTTGAAAATCATATGCAAATTTTGTGTGGCGACAATTCATGCCATATAACAAGCGGGAGAACTTTTATTGAGCATCAATGAGCGAAAGGCACACAATTTTCATCTCCCAAAAGAGGAATTGACGATGAGGTGAAACTTCTGATGTGAGCGGAAATGATGAAAATGTCGCTTCGATTCATTTTCAGGGAAACTCAATTTTCCACATAGGCACGCAAGAGTCGCAAGTCAAAATGAATGGTAAATGCAAAGTCAGTCACGCGTTTGTCAATTAAATAGCGCCAGAGGCTGAAAGAAAAGTAATCAAACTTTTGTCCCATAGGCATTAGTTTCAAAAGATTTTCATGATTATTAGACAACACATCTTATGTTTAATTAGGTATTCTATGTGGAATACTGCGCGTCAATGGCTTGTGATTTGTGCCCAGAAGAGGCGAACTTTTTGGGAAAAAAAATGCGAAGAATTTCCGCCACGGGGGGAAAATGTCAACTGTTGCGTTTGCCTCATGTGACAAAGATTAAGCAAGATTTAGGGATGAGCTTAGGGATGAGAAGATTATATTCTTATTCTCCCTCACCATTACAGCTTCTCATGCATATATTATAAAGCTTCGTTGTCGCTAAAGTCAGTTAAAAGCTCTTCTCTCTCCCTTAAAGTTCCTTCCTTAACGAATGACGTTTCAGTGGAACGAGTGGAACTCACTATAGCCAAAAACTTTAGCACAACTTTAAAACCCCCTTTATTCGTCTTTCTTTTAGCCAAATCCCCATTGTGAGATTTGAACAAGGAAACTTGTCAACTCTTTGCGCCACGAAATTAATTTTGTTAAGTGAATTCCAGACATTTTACTCACAAGAAAGAACATCCCAGAGAATTAGAGCCAATATTGAGAGCTGTACAGAAAAGATTGTCGCACGAATTCTTATAGTTAAGTGAATGAGAAATGAAGGATATTTGGAGAAAGAGAAGAAGAGCTTCCAGGCAAATTAGTGGAATTACTGCCAGATAAAAGAAAAACTCCTCTTGTGATATTTTCAAAGGAGCATTTCCTCTCACGTCATGTGCAGACTTTCAGCATTAACACGAATGATTTGACTTCAAAGAGGTTCAACTGTTAAATGCAAACCACTAAAATTTGCATTCGACAATTGTATTATCGATTTAGAATTTAGAGTAGTTTGAAAATCACCCTCTTTATGTTCACTGCACAATTTTTCCTGTACGCGCCTCACATTTTCCATCCATATGGATGAAGGATATTTGGGAAAATGAGCAGTACACAAATGAGATTTATAACTATCATTAGGTAAATTCAGCGAAATGTGATTGAATATATTAGGGTAAATATTACAGGCAAGATTACACTCCGTGCTTTGCGTTATAATATTTACTCTCTCGTCTAACTCGTCCCCAAAAACACTTTCGCGCGTTCCCAGCTTTTCCTGCCGCCTGTTTGACTACACAATAAATCAATAGCGAGTATCTCCTTTCACTTGGCGTGTAAATAAATATTAATAACAATGTGGGAATTAATTGTTTGATTTGAGGCAAAAGGGACCCAAACTTTCTGGCTACATCACGCTTCACTCCACTTTGCATCATCTTCGCACACCATCTGGAAGACACCGCCGAGTCCTTAAGTGGAAATCATGTAGACCTTCTTTGCCGAAAACAATGTATGGTAATTAATTTATACATGTTGCAGCCGTGGGAATTCCGGGGCAAAATATGCGGTTACTGAGCATATGTAGTTCCCGACACATCAACTACTAAACTAAACTATTACGCAAAGTCATATTTCACCAGGAAATCAGGCGTTAAAGGGTTTTTGGGGAAAGTTCGGTGTTATCTCAATAGCAATAGCCATGTTTCTGATAAAATGTCCAACAGAATTTCCAAATAATCATACGATTTTAAGTCTATTGGATGAGTTTTGCTGTGAAAGTGGGCGGAGCATTTGAATGGGCGGAGCTTAGAAAGTTATTGCTTGATTCCATTCCAATGTCCTGGCACTTTATGTGGCGCCTTTTAGAGGAAGTCCAACGACGGTCTTATGCTAAAATTACCCTATATTTTTCCTGTCATTATAAAGTCTCGAAACGACTCTGCACAGTCGTTAATGTTTTTTGTTACCGAAATTGCGACAAATGACGCAAATTAACTCTAAAAAGACCTTTGTTTAAGCCCCTCGTGGCTATTGCAGTGAGATTTTCTAATTTCAAATATACCAAATGAGTTGAATTTCGCGTCAAAATTCATATTATGGCTTTTTATATGACAAATTTTTGGGAAAACTCTATATTTTTCCATATAAAGGACAATTTCAGCATAATTCCGCCACAGAAATTCAAAGAGTGCCTTGAGCAGTACAGAAATTCAATGTTACTGACTGAATGAACCTGTTGACTTTCATAGTTTCTAAACACAGAGAGTTTAACGGAATTATCGAGAAATTGAATCGGGAAAATTGCCTCGAGGCCAAGAGTGTGAAAATTGTGGAAGCAACAATGTAACGCATGTAATCTGCTCTGTGGCGAGGATTTATCGATTCAGTGGAATGTTCATCATGCTCAGATTTTATCTGCCGTCAACAGATATGCTGTAATTGGAAAGGCTGTGACCTACTACTTCCTCCCGCTGACCATTATTGGGATCTTGTACGCGTTAATGGCGCGGCGACTTCACTTGAGTGCTCGCGAGATGCCTGGTGAGTCCCTTTAAGAGCACAATAAAAGCTCTCTTTTTTCAAGTATGTCATTTATGCTCCTCTTGCAGCCCAAAGTCGCTCCCAGGCGAGAGCCAGAAGACATGTTGCCCGAATGGTGGTGACTTTCGTCATTGGTGAGTGCGAATAAGGAATCCTCTCTCTATGTATAAAGCTTGATATATAGAGTCATTTAAATAATTTGAAGGGAGCATCCGTTTCAACTTTTCACATTATTTCGGGTACTTTGGGACACACCATTCACACGAGAGGCAACAATGGTACTTTAAATTTCAATTTGTCCAAAAATCATCAGAATTTCATCCTCACTTCGCTCCCCCGTTGAGAATCTTCAGCATAGCTTCAGCATGAATGGGCGCTTGTATATTTTTATCTCTTTTCCCTACTCTGCAGTTTTCATTGTGTGTTTCCTGCCGCATCACATTTTCCAAATGTGGTTCCACTTGTATCCGGACGCCGAGGATGATTATGACGAAGTGTGGCACGTCTTCAGGATAATTGGATTCTGCTTTGGGTGAGGAAATTCATCATCTAATCAGTCCAATCGTACACATTCACCCCAGTTTTCCACATTACACCGTGACTGAAACGGGGTGAAAACCATCAAAGCTCTACAGTCATTACAATTTTAATGGGATCATGATGAATGGAAACACTCCAATATTAATATCCATGCAAAGTTGTCACCTGGCGATAAATCACTTTTCCAGAATTTTATTGCAAGGCTGCAAATATTGCTCGGCAACTACATAAATCACACGGTCTGAATGGCCTCGTGTCTTTTGCAGCTTCCTCAACTCCTGCGCCAACCCGGTGGCGCTATACTGCGTCTCCGGCGTCTTCCGGCAGTACTATCATCGCTACTTGTGCTGCCGGCGGTCGCCCTCCCACCGAGCCGGCCACTCCACCGCCACGGGCGTCTGTGATACCAGCTTCACCTCCACGGTGCGCCGCGCCACCACCCAAGTCCCCCTGCCGATGGGCCAGAACCCGGCCAGCAATCACTGGTACGGCAACGGCAGCGACTGCCCCCCGTCGCCCCAGTGCGTGCGCTCCAAGTCCTCCAGGTCGCTGGGGAAGAGGTGAAATGCGAGCCGCGACTCCACCACCTTCGTCTAGCTCCATTCCAACCCGCAGTCATTCCGCCTCCCGCTCCCGTCCCACCGAGCACCTGAGGCCGCGCCGAGGGAAATCCCCGCTTTCTCTCCTGGGACACCTCAGAATCCGAGCACGGTGAGGCGCACAATGTCTCTGTTTCCCCATGAAGTGTTTAACGCTGAAATTATGAGCATTATCTGAACTTCTGAACCGCAGTGGACCAGGCTAATCTGTCCAAAATCCAAATCACAATTCTCGATCATGTGTGAATCAAAGATGGTCGTTGAAATTTGAAAAGATGCGGAGAAACTCAATTTGAAAGAGACAAAACATTTGGATAATGTTCCAGGAGACTTTTGAGCACTGTAAGAATTGAGTAAATCGGGAAATTTAATCATTCTCTCGAAAGAATTCTGAGAAAAGTCATATTTGAAGATTTCAGTTTGGAAACCAATTTTCTACCTTAAAGATTCAGTTGTGATTGTCTTGATTTTTGAAATCCACAGCTAAGAATAAGACATTTTGCTCCTCACTGTGCTACGGATCGTGGCAATCCAAAAAGGACTCGCACGCTATTTATAGTTACCAAATGGAGAAGAACAAGGAGGAAATAGGATGTGTTGTGTTAATAATTAATTTTTTAGCTCTCATTGAAATAAGTGGAAATAAGATGAGAAAAAGAGATAATTGAAATTCTTCAAGAGGAAAAAGCTCACTTGAAGTTCACAGATTCTCTAGAGGAGCGACTGAGGGTGGGAAAGTGACTTAATTTGAAAGCATTTTACTGCCTTGGAAAATTACTCAATTACTTTTAATTCAGCACCGGTGATTCTGCCTCAATTTGACAAGATTTATTAGCTCTCTCTTCTCGGGAAACTTTACTCCTTTAGCAGCGAAGAGCTCCTTTCGCACATCCAGTAAGTTTTTCCAATGAGTGGCAGTAAAGAAATTGTACAGCAAACACGTGCGCAAGCAGAGAAAAGAAATTTATCACACTCCAACGATAAATATTATAGGCAGAAAAATTAATAATGCTCATTAAGAGATGATTTCGCAGAACTTATTTGCGCTCTTTTGATTTTTTTTGTGCGCTTCAGCAAAAGCGATAAAAATAAACGAGGAAAAAAGGGCACAAAAGGGAAAATTACAGCAAAACATTCTCTATTAATTAGTCATAATTGTTTTCCATTATTAAGGAGAGATGAAAGAAATTTTCAGGGAGAATTTTCACCATGACAAGACGATGTTTCTTCATCACTTTATTTTCCTTTCCAAGCGCTGGAAATTAATTTGATGAAAGGAAAACCATTGAATGGCAAGAGAAGACGAGCACTGTTGACACAAGCATTATATATTTTTTGAAGAAATCAATCAATTCCCGCCGCCGAGCATCCCGGATGATTCCTTCCTAAGCTTCCCCAGAACGTGCCTCAAAGCTGGAATAATTCCATTTAATATGTAATCCAGTGGGAAAATGGGTCGAATCAACAGAGGTTAATTGAATTGTGAGAAGAAGAAAAGCGTGGAAGAAATATAACGAGTGTCTATCATTAGTTGATGTTAAAATCGTTAAAATTAAGACATTCTTAACATTCTGCTTATAAACTCATTGAAGAGTTTAAAAAAATAATTGTAAAAATCATGTATGAAGTAGCTTTTTTGGCTATCTTTAAATGCCCTTTGTTCCATTTATTTCTACAAAACTTTACTTGGGAAAATCATATTCACTAGACAACAGAGAGAACAGATAAAACAATATTAAATTCAATGATAAAACGCCCTAAATCTGTACTTTAAGCACTTGAAAATTTCTCACTGTTTGCACACTAATTTTCAAACGACATTTCTTAACTTTCCGGTATTTCTGCAAGAATTTCATATATAAACTCCGCTTTTTTTTGAGCATCTTTCAGAAACTAGAAAAGGGTTTTTACGATTGTTTCTGCGTAAGAATCAAAATGAATCCAAAGAATCGAGATAATTTGTCAGTAAAAGAAGCACTCGGGAAAGGAATATTGTAAATTCTACAACCCTTCCACTTCCTCTAATACTTCCGCTGAACTGTACATTACTTCTGACTCTATAATCTTCCCCTTGGCTGAAGAGAAGCAATTTTCAGTGAATTACTCGAATTGTTGCTCAATTGTGTCGATTTTTATGCCCCACAATTGCATGTTGTATTGAATTTTGTGTTCCCTTTCCAAAATCCGTCGAAACTTGGGGTTTCGGCAGGAAATTCACATCTCCTGATAGTGGTGGAAAGTGCTGCAAAAGTGCAGATAAGGCTACAGAGTCTCTGCTTATCGGCAAATGCCTAAAATTCCTAGCACACGCGCGCGCACATTGGAAGGCATGGAAGTGCAGAGCGAAAGAAGAGACGAGGAGGAATTGAGGCGATGGTCGTGTGCAGAAGTGCATCTGTCGCGGCCAAAAGCAGCTGCCGCGGCACAAAGACACCCTCCGCACCGCTCTGGCCGCTGAGTTGCGCTCAGGAGGGCCGCACTGAGCCATCTGACTCGCTCGCTAGTCAGTCTTCAGCGATGCCCCAGCGGAATGGCAGCGAAAGTGGCGAAGGGACTGAAGAGATCGCTCTCCGTGGAGGATCTGCCGGAGGCCAAGGTGCCAAGGACTGACCAGGAGACGCAGAGGAGTGCGTTCTTGCGCGAGGCGCTGCAGAAGATCGAGCTGCTGCAGTCCATCATTGCGCAGGAGGACGAAAGCGAGGACTCATCCGAGGGTGAGTCAGAGGAGGAGATTGACGAGAGCGCGGATGCTGAGTCGCTTGGCTTCGCCATGTGCGCCCGCGAGACCATCCAATTCCTCATCGGTCAGGGCTTTGCCGTGGACAGTGACCTGATTGTGGCGCTGAAGGAGCGCCTCGTGGGCCGCATGAGTGGTCTTCCCTTCTGACCAGACGCACAGCCAAGAGAGAGACACAACAGCTGCGCGTGAATTGAGTGCGGAGCGTAAAATTCGAGAGGGAACGACGAGAAAGGGTGTTTAATATTGTGTGTTTGTGTGTGTGTTGTGCGGAAGGTTTCTGAAACTTTCCAGCCTCAGATGAGAACTCCCCAGAGCATGCCCAAAGGTCCTCCCTCAAGAGAGATTCTAGTCATTTATAGCCACGATAAGATGAAGACAAAGATGTTTAGTTCTTAAGTCACTGTAAACTTCATGTAAAATCCCATTTGTAAAATCCTCCACCCACACAATTGTCGCAGAAATACAAATTTCAATGTTTTTAGAAACAAGACAAGCATTCACTGTAATCCACTCCACAATACAGGTAAATTATACTATATAAATTATACAATGAGTTTGAGAGGAGAGAAGTGTTTATCCCAATAAAAGACTAGTTGTGAACATTGCATGTGTCGTGTGTGGATTCAATCCCTTGCCATGTACTTGAGGGCGCAGCCCAGGAAAGCGGCCTTCAGCAGCTGCTCCTTGATCGCCCGCTCGCCGTGCACGGACCCGCTGAGTCTCTGGTAGATGTCCATGGCTCTGAGCGGGGCGCAGCGACTGCCAATGTCCGGAGGATGCTGGCGATCTGCTGGACAGAAGAGCTCCGCGATGTCCTTGCTCTCGACGCTCGTTCTCTCGCTGGGCAGCATTGCAGAGCACAACAGCTTCGGCCACTCACGCTGACGCGACTGAATCAACCCTCGGCTGTAAATAGACACCCAGACGCGGCGGCACGGCGACGAGGGGCGATTGTGACAAACGAGAGAACAGCGTGTTTGATTTTCCTTCGCCTGGGATGATGAATCGGGCCGTCGCCCTTAATAAAGCCCACTCATTACTCAAGAAGACGCAAGAAGGTCTGTATTGGCGTAGGCAGACTATTAAGCACCCCTCGAGAGCACGTGCGTGAGAAAGATAGAGGATATTTTGAGGATTCAACGGAAATAATGTCATAATTGCCACTTTAAGCGTCCCTAAATTCAATTTCCTTTAGTTAGCTCAGTTTAAATGGCTTGAATTTTGCACCCAAATCGTCATTGCGACCCAGCAAACACATTAACCCAAAATCATCGTGTTTTTCAGCTGATTTACTGCCGAATCAAAGTGATCTCAATTGAGCAGCTTTCATGAGCTCAATTCTCAGCTAATGTGTTCGTTGAGAATTGATTAATAGTGTAAAAACCGATAAAATCTTTCTCAAAAACAGTTCAAAACAGCTGAAAAAATTTACTCTTCGTCAAAAATGTTCAATAAAGCATACATTTAGTGTTATTGTGGGAAGAAATGAATGCATTTGCAACGGATTTATATAATAATTTCCTTATTTTTCCACTCACCTGCAAATAGATGACCTCAATTTGCACTTCCTTGAGTCTCTAATCATATTCAGCAACACTCTTCACTGATCCAGAGCAAAGACACTCACTGTAATCGATATTCAACACAATTATCTTGAAATCCAATGCAAAACTCCTTTAATTCTGAAATGAGATTTCTTCACCACGAAAGCTCGCCGAAGCGCTTCACGCGCTTCGCTTGGCCGTCCAGATCCATGCGAACTTTGCTGCGCAGATAGAAGATGGGGCAGTCCTTGCTGGTGCAGATGACCTCCTCGTGCAGCGATCCCTGGCACTGCTGGCACTGCGTCCACAGACTCGCGAACTTCCCCTCCAGCCGCTGCTGCAGGTGCAGCTCCTTGCGATAGTGCTCCGTCTCTCTGGGCTTGCAATGCTGGCACAGCGCCTTGCTCTGCTCCGCCTCGGGCAGCACGGCCCGGCACGCCAGGCAAGTCTCCTTCCGCTTCGTGAAGGCCGCCAGAGCGCCCACCTTGGACGTGACGAGCGTCTTCGTGCGCGTGTGCTCACCGTGCAGCAGCACAGATTCCGCCTTCTTGCCCAGAATGGGCTCGAAGATGCGCAGCAGCGGCTTCGACAGCTGATTCTCCAGATAGTACTTGCAGTCGATGGGAATGCAGTTCTCCAGCACATAGATCGGATCCTCGGCGCGCGCCGACGATGGTGTGTTCTTCGCGCCCGCCACGATCACGTACGGCACGCGATCGCCCAGCTTGGGCGCCGTTCCCGGATCACGCTTCATCATCTTCTTGGCCAGCAGCACGTGGCTCTGCGCCGCGGCGTAGTCCGTCTTGGCCAGCTCCTTCGTGATCACCAGCTGCGAGATGTCGATGCGGTTGCACAGCAAGTCGGCGATCACTTGCTTCGCATAATCCACTGCGCCGTCCGGATTGCGCTCGATCAGCAGCTTCTGCAGGCACTGGTCGATGAGATTCGCCACCAGCGGCGAATTGTCCCGCCGCACCGTCTCGATGCCCTTGCAATCCATCTTGTCGTACTTCTCCGGCCGCGTGAAGTACAGCCCGGCGTAGCGCTTCTTGTTGATCAGCAAGTACGGGAAGTAAACCTTCTCGAACTCCAGCTTGATTGGCTTCACGAAGCGATTGCTCACGAATTCCGCCGCCTCGCGGCCCAATTCCATGCTGCGCTCCAGCGACGACACGCCGAACTTCACCATCACGGAGTCCGTGTCGCCGTAAATCACCACGGCGTCGTTCTCATAGCCGTTCGCCACCGTGTAGCGCTGTTCCACCTCGCTTTTCGTGTGCTCGATCATCGTGCGCCCGTACGCGGTCACGCTGGACGAGATCTCGAGGCACGGCAGCTTGCCCACCTGCGCCCCCGTGAAGCCGTACACGCTGTTGGCGCTGATCTTCAGCGCCAGCTGGCGCCCATCCAAGACGCTGCGCTTGAACGGATCCTTCTCCACCTTCAGGTCCGCCTTGGCGCGCTTCCGTGCCGCCAGTAGCGACTCCAGGATCTCCGGCAGCAAACCCTTGCGCAGGCTCGCCTTCACGAAGTGACAATTGGCCGGCGTCTTGGTCACGGACTCCTCAGCAATGCTGTCGAAGGGAGAAAGGATCGATTGAATGACTCCAACTCATTACTGAGGGTATTTCGCGCTCACCTGAGCTGCGCGCGGTCCTTGGGCATGAGCAGCGTGGTGTAGCAGAGATTGTGGGCCATCATGATGCTGGGATACAGCGAGGCGAAGTCCAGCGTGGCGATAGGGTCGCCGTAGTAGCCGCACTTGGGCTCGATCACCGTCGCGCCCTCGTACTGTTCGTCGCCGGCGGCGCCGCTGTGCGCGGGGATGAGATAGCGCTGGTCCTTGGCCTTGCGCAGCAGTTGGCTCATCACCTTGATCTGTTGGCCGCGCGTGAGCAGACACGAGAGCGGCACTCCCGTGACCCTGGCCATCTCCATGTAGTTCACGATGCACATGAGCTTGCCGAGCAGGCGCAGCGGCAGGAAGGCGTCCTTGAGGCAGTACATGGCAAGTCGGCGGCGCGTCTGCTCGTCCCCCGCCTGCAGGTCGCTGATGATGCTGTGGTGCACATCCTCCTTCTGCTCCTGCAGGAAATGGTAGCTCACGGCGTTGAGCGTGTACGAGCGCAGCTTGTAGTCGCGCAGCAGCACGTGCAGCAGGTCGAAGGGCACGCGGCCCTCGAAGTTCACCACCTTGTTCTCGCGCCTGCCCATCTGGCGGCTCTGCAGGATGGCATCGCGGATGACGGACGGCCGATTGCGGATGCGGCCCAGGAACTCGAAGCCCAGCGCCTTGATGTGCTTGGCGCGATTCAGCAGGTAGGGAATGTCGAAGTTGTTGATGTTGTAGCCCGTGAGAATGTCCGGATCCACGTCGCGCACGAAGTTCGCCCACGCGGCGAGCAGCTCGCGCTCCGTGCGGAACGTGAGCACTTGCGTGCCCACGATGGGGGCGCACGTGTTGAGCGTGAAGACGTTGCGAATGAAGGGCTCCGCGTCGCCCTGGCGGATCACCATGTTGGCTATCTGGATCACGGGATCGTGGTTGGGCTCCGGGAAGATGCCCTTCCTGCCCGCGCACTCGATGTCGAAGCTGAGGATGCGCAGCGGCGCCACTTTGGACCACTCGCCTTCGGGCGCCCACGAGATGAAGTCACACCACGACACGTCCACCTCGATCTGGCACCTGGACTCCGTCCTGGGCGCGGCGTCGCGACTGCGCGGCCGCCACTTGCCGGCCGGGATCTCGATCCAGTTGCAGCCCACGATCTGCGTGTCCACCATGAAGCGGATGTCGAAATCGATGTTGCTCTCGAACACGCGGCAGTCCTGGAAGTCGAACTCCTGCATGATGATCTCCTGACTGAGGATGCGCTTCACGGACGCCAGCAGGCGCGGCAGCGCGAGTGACACCTTGATGAAGGGCTGCAGATCCTCACCGTGGTAGCCTAGAATCGTCTGTGCCTGAATCATGGTGACCTGCAGCACGGCCTCCTGCACTTTCTCCTTGTTCGATCGCATGTCCGTGAGCACGGCTCTGTCCAGGTTCGCCCTGAAGCGCTGGCAGTGGTGCACCGTGAAGTCCTTGGGCGCCGCCACGTACAGGTAGGGCGTGAAGCCGTGCGCGTGGCAGCACACGGAGTTTCCGTCCATCGTCACGCCGTACAGCCGGAAGATAGACACGGGGGCGACTTGAGAGCCCGGCATTCCCGCCAGAGGCTGTCCTGTGTAGTGATCAATCTCGAGTTGCTGGAAGATCAGAGGCTCAGTCTTGGGATCCAGCGGAGGCACAGCCGGACGAGTCCATTTGACGCAAGACTCGACATTTTCCGGGCCCTGACAAAGGCAAAAAACAGTGAATCTTTGCTCCAAAAAAGCCTTCCTCCAAAACTAACCTCAACATTCTGCAACTCTTCAGAGTCAGGGAAATCGGCAATCTCCACCTCAAAATCTCCCAGATCCTCATCCATGTCATCCTCATCGGCATTTGGCCTGGAAAAGTTTGCAAAATGTAATGAAAATCCAGGAAAACCGCCAAACACCTTCCTAAGACACTCACTTGAATTTCTTATTCCCATTCGACTGATTGGTGGTAAATTTACGTTTTTGATCCATCTCAATGTTCCTGAGACACTTAAGAATGCACTTCTTGCGGTATTTTCACGGACAGTGCAGTGTTTGTCGGTGAATTTTCCAGGAAAAGATTCGCTTTGCGGAATTTCACAAGCAGAGCGACAACAGCTGACATTTGGCGCGCAACGGATTGCCAGATGCGAGACGTGCTATAAAAATTATCTTTCTGCCCTTTTTCATCTCACACTTGCTTTTACACAGTTTTTCGTGATTTCCATGCAGTTTTCGCGATGAAAGCGTGCCAAAAAATGGCATGAGTGATCTTCACAGGCTCGATCGGCCCTTGCATCTCGGCCTAACCTCCAAAGTGTCGAACTGTCAAAGTGAGAAGAGTCGCAGTGTGTTTCCGTGGGGCTGCGATAGGTGTGTTTTCCTCAAGTGAGTGGCCCCATTGACGGCATCGCAGCGCGAGGATGTATCAGAGCGCCTGCGGGGCGGCGACGGGCGGATGCGTGAGGGGCGAGCACAGCCACAGCCGCGAGAGTCACCTGATATCCCACGAGCCCGCCGTGGCGCCCGTGGAGCACGACTACGGGGGCTTCGACATCGTCAAGGCCACCCAGTATGGCGCCATCGGGCGCGTGCGGGAGCTGGTGGAGGCGGGCTGGGACGTGAACCAGCCCGACAGTGAGACAGTCACGCTGCTGCACTGGGCGGCGATCAACAACCGCCGCGACATCATCCGCTACTTCCTGGAGAAGGGTGCCGTGGTGGACGCCGTGGGCGGCGAGCTGAACGCCACGCCGCTGCACTGGGCCACCCGGCAGGGCCACATCAGCGCCGTGGTGCTGCTGCTGGCCGCCGGCGCCGACCCCAGCATCCGCGACGCCGAGGGCGTCTCGTGCATTCACCTGGCCGCGCAGTTCGGCCACACGGCGCTCGTGGCCTACTTCATCGCGCGCGGCGTCAGCCCGGACCTGCAGGACCGCACGGGCATGACGGCGCTCATGTGGGCGGCGTGGAAGGTGGTGGAGATCGATCCCGTGCGCCTCCTGCTCACGCTGGGCGCCAGCCCGAGCGTCGTGGACCACACGCACGGCAACACGGCGCTGCACTGGGCCATCCTGGCCAGGAACGCCACCGCCATCAACACGCTCGTCCTCAAGGTGAGTTGCGAGAGCAGATAAGGCGAGGCGCTGAGTCAGGCGCGCGCGAATCATTGGCACTGTGCAGTGCCGCAAATGATGGCGCACCGCGACTTTCAGCGACTTTTTTTTTTAGGGAATAGGCCTGGAATGTCTGTCGAAGCAGATAAAAGATCGATTATTTCCTTTCCTATTTCTCTTATTGACGTCATACATTCCGGCTGCTTTTAGTCCGAAATCTTTCTGCGCCATCGCGAGGATCAGAAGAAACGTCTTCTGATCCTTCACACTCAATTCGTACCAGTTTGTGAGGTAAGAAATCTTCGAAATTCTCTCGGTTTTCATCTTGATGAGTTCGCCAAACAAGCAAAGAAGAAAAATTTGAAAAATCCCAGCAGCACATAATAAATATCCTGATATTTGATTGCTTTCCTTACGCAAAAGCAAAAAAATGAGAATCAGAAGCAAAAAACTGCTTGTGACTTGAAGAAATGCAATCTTTTCAATGGCTTCGTTGAACAGATTCACTTTTCTGATCATATCGTTGTGGCGAATGATGATAATTTTAAGGTAATTCGGAATTTCCTTAGTTTTCTGATCGATCATTTTCATGTAATCCTTGAGAATATTCAATGCTGCCATAACTTCAATGCCAATGAAAATTATTCCCAAGTCAAGTGTCATTAGATAGCTCGTAGCAATTATTATCAAAAAGATTTGGATAACATAAATGACTTCTTCAGGAATTGAATGTTGTGGAAAAATTTGCATAACCAAACCCAACTCGCTGTTTGGTCTCATTATCGCCATAATTCCCATACCAGCTAAGAAGTACAATGGCATTCCCCATCTGGAAAGAAATCACATTGTTATGAATCCAAAATGTTTCACATTTCATTTAAAAATTTCTCACTTGGTCATGAACTTCCAAATCTCAAGCGATTGAATCAAATGCTTTTCGAAAATCACTTTCAGCTCAGGATCAATTTCTTCTTCTGTGTAGAGAAATTCAATCCATTTGCGAAGATTGAAGAAATGTTTATGTCCAATTGAGCCAAAAATTAATTTCGAAATAATTTGTATATAACCAAGTAAAACCAAATTCGTCATAATCAAGCTCATGTTAATTTCATTGGATAGTAAATCAAGATAACGTAAATTTGTAAAAATTAGTCCGCAGATAAGACAGAAAATCAAAAATGTAAGCAAAACTCGCTTTTTCCACGGTCCAGAAAAAATGTTGATTGTCAAAAAGGAGATTTGGAAATCAATCACTGATTTTTCACAGTTGAACTTCTCCAATTGCTTGGAAACTTTCATTTTGTGAACTGAAAATGAGAAAATCCTTCCGACAAGTTTAACAATTGCTGCAAAACTGAAAAGCCGTCATGAAATAATGTGGACGGAATGTAAAAAGGGCGGTCTATTTCTCATATGTGAATGTGTTAAATATAATTAATTATTAAATTTGTTGTGTCACTTTTCACTTTGCAGCCAAATTAAAATACATTTCCTCCTTTTTCTCACACTCTCGATGCACACATGTTGCATTCTCAGCGCGAATCAATCGATTGAGTGTTAAAGTAATTCTGCCACATTTCACTGATCCTGGCTTTCAACTGAAGCGTGAAATCAATAAGAAGCTCTCAGAGCTAGAAAGATCTCCAGAAAGACAAATACGATAGCATTGAAAGGAAACCAAAGGAAATAACTCAAGGAATAATTTTTCTTGTAAATAAATTATGAATTGAAGAAAAGTTTATTTCACCGACATTTTTTTTACAATTCCATTGTTAATTCATGATTAAATTACAACAAATAAAGCGCAGGTGGATAAAGAAAGCTTATGTGAGCGTTTTGCATTTCCTGAAGCTCGACTAAGCTAAGTTCTTGTGAGTTCCTTTTAGTCCAGCTTCACTCAGAATGTGACTTGAGAGGAAAAGCTGAACTTCGTTTAAAGTTTCGTGCGGAATTCTATTAACTCTCTGAAATGTTCACATCGACTGATCAGATGAACATCCAGTGAAATTTATGCTGTTCTTGCTGGTGACGTCTTCTGTTCACTCGTCACTTGGCTCTGCTCCTCAGAATTTACGGCTTTTCCCACATTTTCCCTCGCTTATTACGCCAAAGTTCATCTGTTCTTTTGGAATCGGAGAACGTTCTTTGCTAAACTATAAAAATAGAACGTCTTCTTTTCCTTCTCTTCAAGATGATGATCAATCGTGTGATTTGGATTCTAGAATCGATAGACGCGAGCACTTTTCACTATTCTAACAACGATAATAACAAATCACCAAATAGATTTGTCAGACAACTAAAGCCACTAAATTCACTTGCTCAAAGCATACAAAGAGGCGCAGTAAGAAAAGGCCAATTTCATGATCTGGACGAAGGCGTTTAGGTTGACGTCATACATTCCGGCCGCTTTCAGTCCGAAATCTTTCTGCGCCATCGCGAGAATCAGAAGAAACGTCTTCTGATCCTTCACGCTCAATTCGTACCAGTTTGTGAGATAAAGAGTCTCCGAAAGTCTCTCGGTTTTCATCTTGATAAACTCACCAAACAAGCAAAAAATCCAAATTTGAGCAATTCCAACACAGCATATTAAATATCCTGAAATGTTATCGCTTTCCTTTCGCAAGAAAACAAAATTAAATATTAGAAGCAAAGTACTGCTTGCGACTTGAAGAAATGCCATCTTTTGAATGGCTTCGTTGAACAGATTCACGTTCTTGATGATATCGTTGTGGCGAATAATAATAGTTTTAAGGTAATTCGGAATTTCCTTAGTTTTCTGATCAATCAAATTCATGTAATCGTTGAGAATATTAAGAACTGCCATAATTTGAATACCAATGAAAATGATTCCCAAATCCATCGTTATAACGGAAAATGCGCCTATTCCCATCAATACCATTTGGATAACATAAGTCACTTCGTTAGAAACTGCGTTTGGGCCCAGAATTTGCATAACCAAACCAATCTTGCTCTTCGGTGTCATTGTAGCTCCACTTAATAATCCCGCCATCATTACGAATGGCGATCCCCATCTGAAAGTATTTTGTTATGTCATAATTTTTAATTCACATTTCAAGTAAAAATTTCTCACTTGGTCAGAAACTTCCAAATGTCGAGCGATTGAATCAAATGTTTTTCGAAAATCACTTTCAGCTCAGAATCAATTTCTTCTTCTGTGTAGAGGGACTCGATCCAATTCGTCAGTTCAGAAAATTGCGGACGTTCAATTGATCCGAGAAATAATTTTGAAATAGCTTGTGAATAACCGATAAAAATCAATGTCGTCGTAATAAGATCAATGTTCAGATCTGTTGATAGTGAGTTATATAGGCGGTTTCCTATAAATATTAGTCCTAAGAATGAACCGAAAAGCAAAATCACAACTAAGAAACGATTTTTCCACGATCCAGAAAAAATGTTGATTGTCAAAAAGGAGATTTGGAAATCAAACACGGATTTTTCACAGTTGAACTTCTCCAATTGCTTGGAAACTTTCATTTTGCGCACTGAGAATGAGAAAATCCTTCCGACAAGTTTAACAATTGCTGCAAAACTGAAAAGCCGTCCTGAAACAATGTGAAGGGAATCTAAAAAGTTTGTTCTATTTCTCGTGTTGTTAAATTTAATTATTTATGGATTTTGTGGTTTCAATTTTTCTCACGCGGCCAAATTAAGTGACATTTCCTCCTTTTCCTCACACTCTCGATGCACACATGTTGCATTCTCAGTGCGAATGATTTTAATGACTGTTAAAGTAATTTTGCCACATTTCAATGATCCTGGCTTTCAATTGAAGCGTGAAATCAATAAAAACTTTCAACGTCAGAAAGATCCTCGGAAAGAGGAATTAAATAGCACTGAGAGGAAACCAAAGGAAATAACTCAAGGAATAATTTTTCTTGTAAATAAATTATGAATTGAAGAAAAGTTTATTTCACTGACATTTTCTTATACAATTTCATTCTTAATTCATGATTAAATTACAACAAATAATGCGCAGTTGGATAAAGAAAGCTTATGTGTTCGTTTTACATTTTCTGAAGCTCGGCTGACCTATAAACATGTGGATTCCTTTTAGTCCAGTTTCACGAACAGTCGCGTGATTTGGATTCTAGAATTGTTACAGCGACTACAGACTTGCGGGTGATCCACGAGAGGTTCAGCGAGATCGCGAGTGTGTATGACTTGACAGTTGGCTGAGCCATAAAACGCGACTGATTCCTCGATGTATCGAAGGTTCAGTCGATATTTATGGGGTTCTCGACGGCAGCGCGCTCGTGCGAAAATGCGCCGAAACATTACACGACTCAAGAAAGGAAAAATGGCGAATCTCTTGCGAATGATTTTCTGAGCTATTAAAACTATAATAATAACAAATCGCCAAATAGATTTGTCAGACAACTAAAGCCACAAAAAGTTAGAGCGCTTGAACTTTTTGATATTCACTTGCTGAAAGAGCATATAAAGCGGTGCAGTAAGAAAAGGCCAATTTCATGATCTGGACGAAGGCGTTGAGGTTGACGTCATACATTCCGGCTGCTTTCAGTCCGAAATCTTTCTGCGCCATCGCGAGGATCAGAAGAAACGTCTTCTGATCCTTCACACTCAATTCGTACCAGTTTGTGAGGTAAAGAGTCTTCGAAAGTCGCTCGGTTTCCAACTTGATAAACTCGCCAAATAAGCAAAGAAGCAAAATTTGAGCAATTCCGAAGCTGCATATTAAATATGCTGAAATTTGATTGCTTTCTTTACGCAAGAAAAGGAAACATAATATAAGAAGCACAGTACTGTTAATGATCTGAACAAACGCCGTCTTCTGAATGGCTTCGTTGAACAAATTCACGTTCCTGATAATATCGTTATGGCGAATGATGATAATTTTAAGGTAATTCGGAATTTCCTTACTCTTTTGATCGATTAAATTCAAGTAATCGTTGAGAATGTTCAACGCTGCCATAATTTGAATGCCAATAAAAATGATTCCTAAGTCAATAATTATA